AGGGAACACAGAGTACTGGAGAGTTGTTTCATGGATAGAAGAGGGAGAGAGCGGCGGGTGCTGCTGCTGTAAGTACTGTTGCTGCTGCGGCTGCTGCGGTGGGAGAGACTGTGACGGTTGCGGCTGGAGAGATTGGGCTGCTGCTGCTGCTGGAAGCACCGCCGATGCTGCCGCGGTTGCTGCGGCTGGAGAGATTGTGGTGGCTGCTGCTGCTGGAAGCACTGCTGCTGCTGCGGATGGAGAGAACTGTGGCTGGTGCTGCTGCTGGAAGCACTGCTGCTGCTGCGGCTGAAGAAACTGTGGCTGCCGCTGCTGCTGGAAGGACTGCTGCTGCTGCGGCGGAAGGAACTGTGGCAGCTGCTGCTGCTGGAAGCACTGCTGCTGCTGCGGCTGGAGAGACTGTGGCTGCTGCTGCTGCAGGAAGGACTGCTGCTGCTGCGGTGGAAGGAACTGTGGCAGCTGCTGCTGCTGGAAGGACTGCCGCTGCTGCGGCTGGAAGGACTGCTGCTGCTGGGGATGGAGAAACTGTGGCGGGTGAGGCTGGAGAGATTGCGGCTGCTGTTGGTGTTGGAAGAACTGCTGCTGCTGCGATTGCCGCGGCTGGAGGAGATGTGGGGGGTGCGGCTGGAGAAATTGTGGTTGCTGCCGCTGCTGGAAGTCCTGCTGCTGCTGATGCTGGAGCTGCTGGAAACGCCGCAGATGGGGAGGGGGGGAGGGGGTGAGCAGGCGGAGATAAGGGGGGGGGGAGGAGTGGAGGGTCGGAGTGTTGAGAAGGGAGGGGCGAGGAGTAACACTGCTCCAGTGAGGAGGGGGGAGAGGGGCAGGGGGGGTAGCAGTCATGATGGGCGACGGCGGGTGGACCCGCGGCGGCCAAGGGTGAAGTTGCTGCTGCGGAGGCTGCTGCACTTCCCCTGCTGCCGCTGCTGCTGCCGCTGCTGCTGCCGCTGGCAGGAGGAGGGAGGGGGGGGGGGGGGGGGGGGGGGGGGTAAAGGAGGGAGACAGCGGTGGAGGGCAGAGGCGTTCAAGGTGCAGGGAGCGACGGTGACAAGGGCGCAGGCGGCTGTGCGAACGTGCGGCGGCGGGAAGGGGAGGCGGTGGCAAAGTCGGGGGCGGCGGCGGCGAGCAGGCCGCGACGACGAGGGGCGCAGGCGACGGCGGAAGGGCCGCGGCGGCGAAACGAGGGACGGCGGCGGCAGGCAGGCCGCGGCAACGAGGGGCGCAGGGGGAGGGGGAGGGGGGGGGAGAGGAGTAGGGAGAGGAGGAAGGGAGGGTGCAGTTGCGGCTGAATCTGCAGGCGGCGACGGGGCAGTCACGGCGGCAGGAAGTGTGGGCGGGGATGGCGCGGTCGCGGTGGAGGATGGGCAGGCGGCGCCGAAGCAGTCGCGGCGGTAGGGCGGCGGCGGCGCAGTGGCGCTAACGGGAACCGCGGGGCGAAGATGTTGCAGTTGCGGCGGGGGAAATTGCGGGAAGGTGGCGATGCAGAAGGGGCAGCGAGATGCGTGGGTGACGCGGAAGCAGGTGCGGCGGTGGGAGGGGAGGCGGCAATGCGAAATCGCGGCGGGGGGGGGGGGGGGGGGGGGGGGGGGGGGGGGGGGGTGGGGGCGGGGGAGGTGACGACGAGCAGTCGCGGCGGCGGAATGCGCAGGCGGCGATGTTAGGTCGCGGCGGCGGGACGGGCAGGGGGCGACGAGCTGTCGCGGCGGCGGGACGGGCAGACGGCGCCGAAGCAGGCGCGGCGGCGGGAAGGGGAGGCGGCGACGTGACGTCGCGGCGGAGGGACGGGCAGGCGGCGACGAGGCGTCGCGGCGGCGGGATGCGCAGGCGGCGCCGAAGCAGGCGCGGCGGCGGGAACGCGGCGACGAGACGTCGCGGCGGAGGGACGGGCAGGCGGCGACGAGGTGTCGCGGCGGCAGGATGCGCAGGCGGCGCCGTAGCAGGCGCGGCGGCGGGAACGCGGCGACGAGACGTCGCGGCGGAGGGACGGGCAGGCGGCGACGAGGCATCGCGGCGGCAGGATGCGCAGGCGGCGCCGAAGCAGGCGCGGCGGCGGGAACGCGGCGACGAGACGTCGCGGCGGAGGGACGGGCAGGCGGCGACGAGGCGTCGCGGCGGCAGGATGCGCAGGCGGCGCCGTAGCAGGCGCGGCGGCGGGAACGCGGCGACGTGACGTCGCGGCGGAGGGACGGGCAGCGGGCAGGCGGCGACGAGGCGTCGCGGCGGCAGGATGCGCAGGCGGCGCCGAATCAGGCGCGGCGGCGAGAAGGGGAGGCGGCGACAGGGGGTCGCGGCGGGGGGGAGGAGGGGACAGCGGCGTTGCGCTCGCGGCGGTGGAATCAGGCGAGGAAGGCGTAATCGCGGCGGGAGGGGGGGGGGAACGGCGGCGACGGCGTAGGTCGCGGCGAGAGTATGCTAGTGATGGCTAGTTGAGCCACGCGTAGGAAAGGGTTTGTAGCTGTGGGGTGGGCCCATGGGAAAAAAAAAAAAAACTGAAGGGAGGGAGAGGTAAGGCCTAGGAACAAGTAGCTCTATACCATGTGAAAGTAGCAAATTGAACAAGTGATTAGATTAGAGGAACAACCTAGCATACATAGTTCGAAGGGAAGGTTGGAAGGGAAGGATGAAAGTGACCATAGGTTGGGTTGACCTCACTTGGGGAAGTGAGGGAACCATAGGTCAAGTGGGTTGGGTTGCCCACACTTTGTAGAAGTGAGGCAACCCTAGGCCCACTTGGCTTGGGGTAACCTCAATTGTGGGAAGTGAGGTACCCACAAGTCAAGAGGGTTGCATTTGGGGGCTCCACCACAATTGGGTGGATTGGCACCCCAAAGTGCAAGACTACACCCAAAGTTGGGTGTAGTCCCAACCCAACTGTACACCACAATTGGTGTACAGTCACATGTGTTGGCATGCTACACAATATATATTTTAACAGTTATGAGCTGCCTGGAAAAGGAGTATGGAAGGGGAATAGGGCGGGTTATGAGCTGCCTGGAAAAGGAGTATGGAAGGGGAATAGGGCGGGTTATGAGCTGCCTGGAAAAGGAGTATGGAAGGGGAATAGGGCGGGTTATGAGCTGCCTGGAAAAGGAGTATGGAAGGGGAATAGGGCGGGTTATGAGCTGCCTGGAAAAGGAGTATGGAAGGGGAATAGGGCGGGTTATGAGCTGCCTGGAAAAGGAGTATGGAAGGGGAATGGGGCGGGTTATGAGCTGCCTGGAAAAGGAGTATGGAAGGGGAATGGGGCGGGTTATGAGCTGCCTGGAAAAGGAGTATGGAAGGGGAATAGGGCGGGTTATGAGCTGCCTGGAAAAGGAGTATGGAAGGGGAATAGGGCGGGTTATGAGCTGCCTGGAAAAGGAGTATGGAAGGGGAATGGGGCGGGTTATGAGCTGCCTGGAAAAGGAGTATGGAAGGGGAATAGGGCGGGTTATGAGCTGCCTGGAAAAGGAGTATGGAAGGGGAATAGGGCGGGTTATAAGCTGCCTGGAAAAGGAGTATGGAAGGGGAATAGGGCGGGTTATGAGCTGCCTGGAAAAGGAGTATGGAAGGGGAATAGGGCGGGTTATGAGCTGCCTGGAAAAGGAGTATGGAAGGGGAATCGGGCGGGTTATGAGCTGCCTGGAAAAGGAGTATGGAAGGGGAATAGGGCGGGTTATGAGCTGCCTGGAAAAGGAGTATGGAAGGGGAATAGGGCGGGTTATGAGCTGCCTGGAAAAGGAGTATGGAAGGGGAATAGGGCGGGTTATGAGCTGCCTGGAAAAGGAGTATGGAAGGGGAATGGGGCGGGTTATGAGCTGCCTGGAAAAGGAGTATGGAAGGGGAATGGGGCGGGTTATGAGCTGCCTGGAAAAGGAGTATGGAAGGGGAATAGGGCGGGTTATGAGCTGCCTGGAAAAGGAGTATGGAAGGGGAATAGGGCGGGTTATGAGCTGCCTGGAAAAGGAGTATGGAAGGGGAATAGGGCGGGTTATGAGCTGCCTGGAAAAGGAGTATGGAAGGGGAATGGGGCGGGTTATGAGCTGCCTGGAAAAGGAGTATGGAAGGGGAATAGGGCGGGTTATGAGCTGCCTGGAAAAGGAGTATGGAAGGGGAATAGGGCGGGTTATGAGCTGCCTGGAAAAGGAGTATGGAAGGGGAATAGGGCGGGTTATGAGCTGCCTGGAAAAGGAGTATGGAAGGGGAATAGGGCGGGTTATGAGCTGCCTGGAAAAGGAGTATGGAAGGGGAATAGGGCGGGTTATGAGCTGCCTGGAAAAGGAGTATGGAAGGGGAATGGGGCGGGTTATGAGCTGCCTGGAAAAGGAGTATGGAAGGGGAATAGGGCGGGTTATGAGCTGCCTGGAAAAGGAGTATGGAAGGGGAATAGGGCGGGTTATGAGCTGCCTGGAAAAGGAGTATGGAAGGGGAATGGGGCGGGTTATGAGCTGCCTGGAAAAGGAGTATGGAAGGGGAATGGGGCGGGTTATGAGCTGCCTGGAAAAGGAGTATGGAAGGGGAATAGGGCGGGTTATGAGCTGCCTGGAAAAGGAGTATGGAAGGGGAATAGGGCGGGTTATGAGCTGCCTGGAAAAGGAGTATGGAAGGGGAATGGGGCGGGTTATGAGCTGCCTGGAAAAGGAGTATGGAAGGGGAATAGGGCGGGTTATGAGCTGCCTGGAAAAGGAGTATGGAAGGGGAACTCACTATTTGCAGCTTCTTTGACAAAAACTGGGAATAACAAGGTCCTTAACATAACTGGTCTCACCTTTAGGGTTGCGGACGTGGGCCTAGGCCCTAGACTAGAGCAGTAGTGAAGGGAGGCTAGCCATGTGGTTGAACAGCGAGCGGGATACAGCACGAGGTGTGGGTTGCCTGTCACTGTCTTGCGCGCGCGTCCCGACCGAATTAGAATGGCCCACGTATCCTGTGCATCGACTAATTTTCAATGGCTCACTTGTCCAGTGGGTTGACGGCGTATGTTTTTTTAGAATTCTCAAAAACCATTATTTTCAATGGCTCACTTGTCCAGCGGGTTGACGGCTCCTGGGAACTTGGCGCCAAACGAGAGGGAGTTGACAGTGTGAGATATCTGCCATGTGGGCAGAGTGTGTCGCGTCATGTGGGAATGCGGGGGCGGGGGGAGAGCGGACGTGGGAATGGCTCAATTTAAAAAGGCGCACTTATCCAGTGGGTTGACGGCTCCTGGGAACTTGGCGCCAAACGAGAGGGAGTTGACCGTGTGGGATGTCTGGCGTGATAGAGCACGTGTGGTGAGAGCACAGGTTTGGGGGAGAGGTGTGGGGATAAGGGGGGGGGGAGGGGGGAGAGAAAGGGAGAATACATACAAGAGTTGACAGCAAGGGATATCTCACAAGGTGCAAGGATGTGTTGCATCGCATCACAGGGAAATGGGGGCAAGCAACAGAGATCTGGTCTGGTGGTAGGGATGGTCATCTGACAGCGGAGGGCGCAATGTGTTTGGTCCATACTGAGTCGCGGCGGCTACCACTCACATTGAAGACAGTGTCGTGGAACATGACAAGGTCAAAGATGGAGATGCCTGCTGTGTAGAACACCTTGGCCGGGGCGAAGTGGAAATTGCCCGCCACCTTGTTCACCTGCACGGGGAGGGGGAACGGATGGGAGGAGGGGAAAGACGAGAGAGGAGAAACAAATGTGGAACAGAGAGGATGGGGAGTGGTGGGAGAGAATAAGAGAAGGGCCTCACCTCGAACCAAAGCCTCATCTCAAACCTTAGACCAGGGCCTCACCTTAGACCAGGGCCTCACCTTAGACCAGGGCCTCACCTTAAACCAGGGCCTCACCTTAGACCAGGGCCTCACCTTAGACCAGGGCCTCACCTTAGACCAGGGCCTCACCTTAGACCAGGGCCTCACCTTAGACCAGGGCCTCACCTTAGACCAGGGCCTCACCTTAGACCAGGGCCTCACCTTAGACCAGGGCCTCACCTTAGACCAGGGCCTCGCCTTAGACCAGGGCCTCGCCTTAGACCAGGGCCTCGCCTTAGACCAGGGCCTCACCTTAGACCAGGGCCTCGCCTTAGACCAGGGCCTCGCCTCGAGCACGTCATACATGTTGCACCCCAACATCTCGCCACACACCCCTTAACCCGCACAATACAGCATACCTGGGCATCCCTAGCCAGACCCTCACCTCGAGCACGCCGTACATGTTGCACCCCTCGCCCACTTGTGCCTGGATCTTATCTATCAGGTCCTCCCTCTTGCACTGCACGCCCACCACGCACGAGAGAGATGGGGGGGAAGGGACAGTGTAAGACTGAGGGCTCCTACACAAGAGATTTTGTGCACTGTGCAGTCAGCTACCAGGAGGGAGAGGGCAAAGAGTGAGGATGGTGAGTGAGTGAGTGGCAGGGCGGAAGGAAGATGATGGGTCATGGGAAGAAGCATGAGGCTGATGAATGTACAGAGATGGACCAAGGGGAAATGGCAGAGCGCAACGATGCAATCATGCAACAGATGCAAGGATGCAATCATGCAACAGATGCAACGATGCAATCATGCAACAGATGCAACGATGCAATCATGCAACAGATGCAACGATGCAATCATGCAACAGATGCAACGATGCAATCATGCAACAGATGCAACGATGCAATCATGCAACAGATGCAACGATGCAATCATGCAACAGATGCAAGGATGGTTCCACCAGGAAAGGGAGGAGGGCCCGTTGCTGAAGCAAGGAGAGGATGACAAACAAGGGAGAAAGGGGGGAAGGAAGACGAACGTGATGGGAGGAGAGGGAGAGAATGAAGCTGTAGGGTGTAGCAGAGAGGGAAGAGATGAAACAGGTAGGAGTTGGAGGGAGATGATGAGGCAGGCAGGCATGTAGGGAGGACAAGGAGATCATGAAAGAGGAAGGGCGGAGAGACTGGGAGGGAGGACCTGTTCGATGGCGTCCGCGTTGCTGAAGGCCCACCCGCGCTTGTTGTATGCCTCGCGCACCTCCTCACAGTTGTTGCAGCACTGGTCATCCGTCTGACGTGGTTACAGAGCGAAGGTCCGAAGGAGGGGAGGTGGGGGGAGGTGGGAAGAAAGTGGAGGGGTGGGAAGGAGGGGGGGTTTGCGGAGATGATAATGGGCGGAAGGAGCAGGTGATCAAAGAGCAAAGAAAGAGGAGGAATGACCAGCAAAGGGCGGTAGCGGGTGATTAGAAACAGGAACGCCCTCAGCACCACAAGGTGCAGGAACGCACGTCAGCAGCGCCGTAGCAGCTGCCACAGAAGGGGTGGTCATCGGGCACCACAAGGTGCGGGAACGCACCTCAGCAGCGCCGTAGCAGCTGCCACAGAAGTCCTGGTCATCGGGCACCACGTTGCCAAACTTGTCGCGCTTCTTGAGCACGTCGTGCTGCTTCGCCCCTATCTCGTGCTTCGAATCTATCCCCTCCACCGGCAGCCCTATGGGCGTCAGTCGCCGCTTGTAGATGTTGTGCACCTGATGGGGAAAGGGGGGAAGAGGGGAAGGGGGGTTGTGAGGGTTGGAGGGAGAGACAGTGGGAGAGGCTGGGTGGGTGAAGTGAAGGTCTATTCCCTCCACCGGAAACCCTATTGGCGTCAGCTGTCGCTTATAGATGTTGTGCACCTGGGGGGGGGGGAAAGGGGGGGTGGCGGGAAAGACGAGAGGGGAGATGGGGGGTGGGGGTGGGGATGGGGAAGGCGAGGGAGTTGGGTGGGTGGAAGACTATGCCCTGCACCGGCAGCCCTAAGGGCGTCAGGCGCCGCCTGTATATGGTGGGCACCTGAGAGGGTAGGAGGGAAGGGGTGGACAAGAAAGGCAGGGGGAGGACATGGGGGCTGAGGGGAAAGGGTGGGGAAATGGGGGAGGGAGAGGGGCGACCGGGGAGGACAAGAGGCACACAGGGGACGTGGGGGACGTGGGTGATGTGGGTGATGTGGGGTACATGGGGGAACAGGAGTAACAGGGAGCTGAGGGGGGGATAGGGAGGTCGAGGTAGATGATGGGAGGGTTGGGATGGGATACGGGGCGGGAGGTCTGTAGTCAGAATGGAACATGGCGGTTCCGACCAGGTCACAACAAACTACCATGACATGGCATGGCAGGATATGGCATGTGCATCGCATGGCATGTGTGCGTACCACGTCGAGGTGCTGCTCGCCGCTGATGTCCATGGCGTCTAGCGACAGCACCGCGCATGACAGGCGGGGAAACGTCACGTCCAGCTGATGTCGGTCGGGTGAGGTGATGATGGTGGGGGAAGGGGAGGGGGGGAACGGATTTTGAGACAGGGGATAAGCCGGGGAGGGGAACGGATTTTGAGACAGGGGATAAGCCGGGGAGGGGAACGGATTTAGAGACAGGGGATTAGCCGGGGAGGGGAACGGGGGTCCAGAGGAAGGACTTAGGAGGTGGTTGAGAAAACGTGCATTAACCATGACTCGGGTTGACAAGAGATTGGCTCCAAATGGGCCAAATATTCGCGAGGTCGTGATGATCTAGAAAAATCTGGGCGCTCACATTGATTTTGAGGGTTTCTCCGCGCGACAGGTCCACAGAGAGCTCGTTGACGATCTTCGGCTGAAGGAACAGACCTGGTCGGACGGGAATGGACGGAGGGGGTGGAACGGACGAAGAGGAGATGGAAGAGCAGAGAGTAAGAGCAATCAACAATCAAGGCTCAGGTACAGTGAAGGGTACAGCAATGACGATTAGAACGATAAGCGCAATAATGTTAATACTGGGGATATCTTAAGGGAGGAGCATAACGATGTGGGCTCGAAAAAGGCGCTCATAAGGAGTTCGGTGATGAAGAGCTCGGCCATGACGACGGAGGGAGATGAGCGTGAGGATTTCTGAGACATCTCAAATGTTGATACAACGAACATCTCCTCACGCTCACCTCCTCCGTACGGAGAAGAACCGCTGACATGCGTGGGGGGGAGGATCTTCGTACGGAGTTCGGTGATGAAACGCACGGCCATGACAATGAGAAGATGAGCGCGAGGATGTTTATACAGGGGATATCGTAACGGAAAAGACATACGGAGTTCGGTAATGAAGAGCACGGCCATGACGACGGAGGAGAGGAGCGTGAGGATGCCGCCGGACATGGTGCGACTGTAGAAGTCCTCATTGACCTTCGGATAAGCGTCCAGCTGACGAAGCTTTTTAAGAAACTCCATGGCTTCGAGTCGCGCTCCTCCTTAATCGGTGACTAGGAAAAGCGGAGAGTTCTCAGATGCTGTGACCGCGAATCAACGAGGATTCTTGGTTCCTGTTGACTCGCTATGGCGAATTCTTGGCGTTATAACGAAGCGTCGCCATGCATGAACGAGCTTGAAATCATCATCTTATAGTTTCTAATCTATAAAGAACTACTGATTTCCAAGCGGACCCGACGAGGTAAGTCGCTTTGGCCTGGAGACAGGTTAGATCGATTCAAGAGAATGAGGGGCTGGTTCATCAGCCTTCGAAAGACGACTAGCCTTGAGCTATGTCGCACGAAGGGCGCACTACGATCGCACCACTACAACGCTGAAGTCGAGGATCAAACGAAGACCTACAAGCGACGCGGACGGCGCAGCGACAAATGTCAAGGATTGCAGAAGACGGAATGGAAGGCGAACAGGCACGGACCAGAACATGCTGCTGACCAGTCACCAACAGCCAGTGTAGCACCGAAGGTCAGCTGGGCACAACTGAAGGTGATGACGTTCGGACGGTAAACATGGTGTGGATGTTCGGACGGTAAACGCTCTGCACCGTATAAAAAACCCACTGCAACATAATATATAAATATACCGTGTACAGCCTCTCTTAGAGCCCAGACTTGTTGGCACGGGTTGTTCTAGAAGGACAGAGCCGAAGTAGGGGAGGGGAGGAGCACCAACTACTCCACACCATACCACACATAAGCGAAGCACACTCAACATGCTCCTATAACGAAGCAGCCGTCTGGAGCAAACCATAGATACGAATGTATGATAACTGCAAGCACTTGTTTCTTACGGCTTACAGGGATACAACAACAGAAACTTTACTTCTTCTCCAGTCAGCAATTCATTGTTCATGGCAACACTATACAAAATTTGTGATGGCGTTTGCCATCAAGCAACGCACCTACCATTTACATGAAAAGTTGTCATGATACGATAGAAAATGACCTAGGAGGAGAGCATTACAATGGCTACTCCAATCAATCAGTAGAACCTTTATGCAAAACCGAATCCTTGTACAAGGTGATCAGCGATGACGGTGTGGAGTCTTTGCCTCATCATCGCCTTGGACGAATACGGCGGCAACACGAGTTGATGGAAGCACGTGTGCGCGGTTGGCAGATGTGTGGTGTCAGTCAATGCAAGATGAATGTGGAACCTGCAACAGCATAAAGACCCTCGAGTAAGCATCTTAGGATAGGTATTCCAAACGCCCTTTGCCACAGAAACTCAGGACAAAGAAGAGCAAACCATAATTCTGAAAACTTCCCCACCACAGCCCATCTCGTACCTAGATTGCAGGCCAGCAAAGCCGGAAGCAGGGAGGCGTGTGATGGCCGTGGTGAAGTAGAGGAGACGCCTGCGCTGGTCCTTGGTCATTTCCTCCACCACCTCCCAGAACCATCCGATCTGCACCCACGAAGTGACAAGGGGACATGCAAGAAGCAGAGTCGTCAAGAAATCAGCATCAAGAACCCCATAACCACCAGCAGCCCCAAGAAGCATCGGTCTTTCACACCTAATCGGTTTCTGTGGAACGAAAAAAAACTTGCAAGAGGGGCCATGGCATAACGGGTTCATGAATCCACGCACCTCAGGGTCGGTGGCCCGGTAGCCATGGTAGTCCGTGTGTGCGCGCCAGTCCGCCACGTCAATGTCCCTCTCCTCGCCGTACAGCAGCGCCTCAAAGTCCCCCGCATCCAGCGGCCTCAGCGCCTGCTGCATCACCCACCCGCTCTCCACCACCGCTACAGCCGGACTCATCATCGGCACCACCACCGGCGCCACAGCTGCCATTGGCGCTACAGCCGCCACCATCGGGGACTCAGTCGTCATTGGCGCTACAACTGATGGAACAGAGGCGGGATTGGGTGGCACACCTGCACCGGCTGTAGCAGCAACGGCTGCAGCCATGGGGAGGACGCTGGTGAGTGCAGCTGTAGCAACAGGGGTTGTCGCCAGGGGTACCATTACTGATTGCTGGCTGGTGAGGACTGTCGGCAGGGTGCTCATGACGCTGTGCAGCGCAGCAGCAGCTGTGGCAGGTGTGGCAACTGTGGTAACAGCAGCAGTGGCAGCAGCTGTAGCGGCTGTAGCAGCTGTAGCGTGGGCAGCCATGAGTGCTGGAAGGGTTTCCATGGAAGCAGGCACAGGTCCTGACGTCCCCTGCAAGGCGGCAGCCCACAGGGCTGTAGCTGCTACAGCCGCCGCCGCAGCTGCTGTTGCTGCTGCCGTTGCTGCTGCTGTAGCAGCTGCGTTGGGATTGGAGGTAGGCCAGGAAAGGGCGGCTGTAGCCGTGGCTGTTGGGGGTGCAGTGGTGGGTGTGGGAGGGGCTGTAGCGTATGCTGGTGTTGGTGCTGGTACTGCTGCTGGTGCTGGCGGTGCTGGTGGTTGTGTTGGTGGTGTTGGCACCGATGCTGGTGCAGCAGCAGCAGGTGGCGCAGCACGGCCCCATTGCTGCCCCCCTGCTTCCACATTCCCTTCTGCGCCCATGTGCATATGGCTGATGGGGTTAGTGGGAGTCATGGTGACGCCAGCCGCGGGCATGCTGACGCCAGCAGGAGCCAGGGTGACGCCAGCAGGAGTCACAGTGACGGCACCAGCAGGAATGCTGACGCCAGCAGGAACAGAGTGGGGAAGACGGAGAGAGGAGGCGTGCAGAGAGGAGGCGTGGAGGGAGGAGGCATGGAGCGAGGAGGTGTGGAGGGCGAGTGAAATGGGGAGGTCCCGGCAGTGCAGGAGCTCCGAAAATCCCGCGGCAAAGGCCAGGGCCTGCAGCCTCATAGGCGCCACAATGCGTCGCTTCACGAGCAGGTCAATGAACGCGTGGCGGTTGCTGTTGGTGACCTTGATGAACTCCCCGCCAGGGCAAAGCTCCACCACGCGACTCTCCCCCACGCCCACGCCCTCCTCCACGCTGCACACAAACGTCAGTCCCAGCACGTCCGCATCCACATCCGTTGCCGGCAGTGCCATGATCGCCCGGCAGCTCGCAAACAACTCCGGATCCATGTCCTTGCAGTCTCTCCAGGTAACCTCGCGCCCGGCTAGCAGCTTGTAAAAGGCGAGCGCGAAGGTGACGTCTAGATGGATGTTGTGCATGAGTGCAAGGGCGACCACACGGCCGCAGAAGCGGAAGTAGGAGAGGTGGCCGGGGTTGATGGCGGAGGAGGGCGAGGGGAAGAAGCGCTGGTGGTCGTCCGGGCAGGCGGAGAAGAGGGCGTTGACGCCTGAGAAGAGCTCGCAGCCCACGAGCATGAACCACTCGCGCAGGACTCCCGCGCCCGAGCCGTCCTCGTCGACAAACTGCACGAGTAAGCCGGCCTTGAGTGCCTCTGGAGGTGCGTAGAAGATCTGGTCGAAGGATTCGTGTAGTAGCGAGGGGCCTCGGTGCACCTGGGGTGTTGGTGTGGTTGAGAGTGGTCGAGAGAGAAAAAGGGTGAGAATCAAATCAACTGGGAGGATATTGGCAGTAGGGGGAGAGGCCTGTGGAGAGGAGATCACCGCCGACAAGCATGAAGCACTCTCAGAGGACTCAGCCATCACCCCGACTCACTCTGACTCTCTGCCAAGCGGCCAGCCAACACACGTGGACTCACAATGACAGTGCATCGGTTGGCATGGTCTTCAGCAGGCTCCGGCAGCAGCGCGCCCATCCACCGCCTCTTCACATCCATGTCGATCAGCTCCCTGTGCTCGCACACCCACGCCAGGTCCCCTCCCGGCGCCAAGTGCTGGTTCTGAATCACCGCGTTCACACACCCCCTGTGTCTCACTAGGAGTCCTACTAGCTGCTCCGCGCTGCCGCCCCTCCCCGCCCCTGCTGCTACTGCCGCTAGGAGATACAGCCCTTGCAGGACGGCAGGGATGCATTCTCGAAGGGGTTCTGGGAGGAGAGAGAGGGCCATTCGGCCGACTAGGTCGGGGGGAGAGAGGGGCGGGAGTGGGGAGGCGGGGTGGGAGGGCGGGGCGAAGGGAGAGGAGGCTGGAGGCGGGAAGGAGGCTGGGTGTTGGGGGGAGTGGTGGGATTGGTTGCGGTGGGGTGAGGTGTGCATGGGCGTGGCGGGGTGATGGTGGTGGTGATGGTGGTCGTGCCAGGGGGGGCTGTGTGGGAAGGGAGGAGCAAAGGCAGCCTGGTGGCTTGCGCTTATGAATGCGTGCCCTGCTGTTGCTGCTGTTGCTGGTGCTGTTGTTGAATGGTACTGGTACGTGTGCAGTGATGCAGCAGATTGGGACAGCTGGGCTTGTGCCGCCGCAGCTGCAGCCACAGCAGCAGCTGTTTCAGGCGAATAGGCAGGGGAAGGAGCGTTAAAGGAAGGGAGGCCGGTGAAATACGGCCAATTCGCAGGGAAGGAGCCGAAGGCAGCAACTGGTGGTTGTATCAATGAATCAGCAGCAGCACCGAAACCAGCAGCAATGCCGAAACCAGCACCAGCAGAACCAGTGGCAACAGCAGCTGCGGCAGCAGCAGCAGTGCTCGCCAGCACAGCCGGCCCCTCCGTCAGCAGCAGCAGCCGCCTGGCAAACCGCGCTGACTCAGCCAGGCACGCGTCCACGTGTCTCAGCACCGAGCCAAACACAGTCAGCAGCCACCCCGGGCGGCAGAACGCGGACTGGCGCACGGCCGGGCGGCAGAAGGGGAGCGAGAGGACAATAGCTGAGGCGAACGTTTTGAAAGCGGAGGAGGCGGAGGAGGTGAGGGGGGAAGTGAGGTTGTCGGACTTGGCTGCTGCGAGCAGGGTGAGCTGGTGCAGACTTATGCAGAGATCCGTGGCTGCCTTTTCGAGGAAGGGAGCTAGGTTGCGCACGAGCCAGTCGGGGGAGCGGTTGAGCTGCGGGCAGAAGCGACCCAGCTGTACCTTGCCGAACAGCTTCACCAGGGCGTCCCAACACCTGGTGGTGAGCGCGGGGCGTAGGCGGCAGGAGTCGAGAAGCACGTGCAGCTCCATGAGCACGGGGCCCAGGTAGTCCAGCAGTGGCCGCGCGAATTTACCCGGGCATGCGTAGTCGTGCATGTACGTGATCAGGGCTGGACGAGGGAGGAATTTGGGGGATGGGGAGGGGATGCAGGAAATGAGGGCGGAAACGAGGCAGGAGTGCATAAGAGGGGAAATCATGTTGTACATCCTCAATGCAAATGCATTATCTGTCAGGGCTTACCCATTGAGCAACAACTTTCCCCAAGCTCCTCTCATCATCTTTTTAGTCAAAATTAACTAGTACTCTCTCTTTCCTTTCTCTATTCCCTTGTTGATATTATCTCTTGTCTCACCTCGCTCGTCCAGGAAGCTGGCGACGGTTTGGTCAGCAAAGCGCATGTGGTGAGGCTCCTTCAGCTGCAGCAGCTGCACGGCCGCCCGCACACCTCCTGCCAGCCTGCCAGTGGGACGGAGATGGAAGGAAACCACAAGACCAATGAGATGCTAAGCCCGCAGATCAAGACGAGGAAGAAGACTAGAAAACAGAGAGATGAACTGCTGTTCTGTCACTTTTGAAATCACCTCAAGTTTTGTGTGTACCTGAAGGCCTCGATGTATTCGCCGAGTTTGATGGTCCAGCCGTCGTGACCGGAGCGGATGGTGTCGACAGCGCGCACGAAGAGCTGCGCCATGGCGCAGTGGATCTTGTCCTCGTAGTACTTGCTCAGCCGCTCCCGCCGCCCCTTCCCACCCGCCTCCTGCACCACTGCGCCTCCGCCCCCACCCTCGCTTCCTGGCGCTTCCTGTTCATCCTGCTGCTGCTGCTGCTGCTGGTCCTGCTGTGGTTGTTGTTGTTGCTGTTGCTGCTGCTGCTGCGTCTCGGTGGGTTCTTGCTCCATGGCATCGTATCTGTCCCCTGCTTGAACCTCCACAGCACCTCCACTAGCACCCTCTGCTGCTGCTCCGCTCCCCCTCCCTCTCCCTCTCCCCCGGCCTCTTCCCCCGCCTCTCCCCCTCCCTCCCCTCTCCACTGCACAATTGCACGCATCTCCGCCTCCTCTGCCGCCTCCCCTCCCCCCTTCCGCCACTTCCGCGCGCTGCTCGTTCATGGGGACTTCTCCCCCGTCCGCCCTTCCGCCCTCCCTCCCATTTTCCTTCACGCCCCCCCTTCCGCCCCCGTCGCCTTTTCCCGCGCCTGGCGGAGGCTCCCCCACGCCCGCGCCCACGGCCTCCAGGCGCTGCAGCTGCGCCAGCCCCGCCTCCATCTCCGCCACCAGAAGCCACACGTCGGGGAAGAGCGTCGATCTCAGCCGTCCGATCAGCTGCAGCGTGGCATCGTGCGGCACAGGCACGTCCTGCAGGCGCGCGGAGGTGTCGAGCTGCTTTCCGGCGTAGATGAGGCGGTGCTCGTGCGCTGGAAGGCCCGTTTTCCGCCTATTGGTGAGAGAAGGGAGGAAAGGGGGGGAAACGGGGGGCGACGAACGTTTGTTTGTGAGGGATAGGGAAAAACAGAAGAGATAAACAGTGTTGCTTTGCATGAATTGAACCAATGGATGCACTGTTTGGCATGGCCATGCTGACATCATCGTACGTCACTCACTGGATCTGCCACAGCACGTCGTCCACGGTGTCGCTCGGCCTGACTCGCAGAACCACCGTGCGACACGACTCCATGCTCGTGCGAACCAGCACCTGCGACAGCGCCGCCGTCGCTCGCGCTTCCTTCCCCGTCACCTTCCCGCCGTGCGCGGCGGCGAACTTCCCGGCGCGGCCTTTCGCGCCATGCTTGCTCTCCGCATCCTCCGGCGCGACCTCCGCGGCTGCATCTTGCCGCCGAGAGTGCGCGGGTTTCCCGCCGTGATTGGCGGCGTCATCCCCATCAACCTCAACGGCAATCCGCGACTCATCCACAGCCGCCAACCTGGAAGCTGCCTCGACTATTTCCAGCATCCCTTCCTGGTCTCCCTTCCGACCGGTGCTCTTCGCCGCATCCGCCGCCGCCGAGCCGCCATTGATGTCCATCATAGAGTCGTTCTTCTCCGTGTCGAACAGCGACAGACCCGCGTCGTCGCCATCCTCCTCCTGCGAATCTAGCTCCACCTCTTCCGTGTTTCCCGCCGCCGCATCCGCTGCGTCTCCGATTCTCGCATCCAATCCCGTCCCCCCTCTCTCTTCCTCAGAACCGTCGCTCTCCGTCGTCTCGCTTCCCTCCTCCCTTCCTCCGTCTGACCTCCCACCATCCTCCGGCTGATTCGACGCTGACGGAAAGTTTCCCTCCGCTGTCTTCTTGTGAACTCTCCGTCTTCTTTTCCGTTTGTTAGTCTCCTCGCTGCTGGCTTCTGCCTCCCACTTCTCACTCGCCAGCGCGCCGGCTGCTGCGGCAGCTGTAGCCGCTACAGCCGCTGCTGCTTCCTCGCAGATCGAGTCAATCTGCTCAACGGTCAACTCTACCGTCTTGTTCTCTCCCGCAGGACATCCCGTCGCCTCTTCCGCCGCAGCAGCAGCCGCTGCGGCTTCCGCTGCTGCAACAGCTTCCTCTTTTAGCTGAGACCCGGCCACGACTCGAGCGGCCATTTCTTGAGACACGACTCCCGGCGGCGAAACGAGCGGGTTGACATTTCTGGACGGTGATAGCGGTAGGGCCGCGTTCTCGTGATCTTCGAAAACCGTCTCGGCTTTTGTTGGAACGCCAGCTACGCAAGGAACGTCCTGCGGGACGCGCGGAAAGTCTTTCTCGCGAGGAGAAGCGAGCACTGGATGGGATGATGTTGTGGTTTGGTCAAACGGACAGCTGGATGCAACGACTGGGGTCTTTATTGAGCCATTAGGTTCGGGATGGAAATCCTCTTCTTCCTCTCTCTTACGCTTTCCTCCCACAGCTGCGGCTACGTATGGTGGGCTTTCCATCTTAAAGTGAGGAAGATTGAACTTGAGAATTGCCGTTGCGGTTGTTTGATAATACAACTCAGGAGCAGCAACAGAATATCTGTTCGCTCGGTCTAAGGCACCTGATTTAATCTTATCTGCCGGAAGATTAACAAACGGTCAGCTTGATCTCATTTAATAGCCGTCGACAACTAGATAACTGATCTGTATTAAGTAATCTCACTTCAAGCGATTATGGAGAGTTTTGGCTGGGCTAATACATCAGCTGGTCAAGGAGCATTTCATTAGCTGCATACAAACTTGGAACATGAAATCGGAAACTACTAGAGAGCAGCTCATAACAAGAGAGCAATCCTCGAGTTTCCCCGACTCTCGCAACTCTCCAGGTGAGGGAAGCAAGATGAGATGATCCCAAGGTTCAGGGAGACAGACTCGAGGTGGACGGGGGGGGGAGTCTTGTTTGTGGATGCGCGGATAGCGGAAGGTGGAACTATCGCAGCAGAGGAAAAGAGGACCTCTGCGGAAGAGGATCGAGCAGAACAAGGAAGACTTGTGGTGGAGAATTGCACATGGAAGCGCGAAACGGCTCCCTCCCCCCTACAGGTCTGTGCGCGGTGATGATGCGGCGGAGGAAAGCGGAAAAGGGCAAGCGCTGGGTGCGTCCTTTTTGTGACGCGCCTTGGAGCTTTTTCCTCGTGCTGACGTGTTTGCGCGTAGAAGGCGGAAAATGGGCAGATCAATCATGCTGGGGGGATCAACCTTGCTGGCGGACCACCCAGCGAGCTTGGGGAGAATAGAATGAGCCCTTTGAGGAAAAACTCGTGGCTGTGAGCGCCTTCACCCATCTCAGTCAAAACCGTATCCACAAAAACACTTTCAGCTGCCCACTTTTCCACGTCGGCTCCAGTGAGATACTCTCTGAGCTACACTGATGGTTGAGGGACGCTAGGCGCCTCGATGCAGCCATGTGCAAAACCTAAGCTGCCATCACGTGACGAGCCATCCCAGCGTAGATTCTATTTGACAGCGCACGACAGGGTGGCTCATTTCTGGCCCTGTCTTTCGTAGACCTCCAACGGTTAAAGCTGCAGTATACATTTGAAATGTTGGGTTCAAAAACTTTTGAAATTTGAAAAGTTGCCCCAAAGCTGTGAGGCACACAATAAAAACCCTAAACCCGGCTGACAAATGTATACTGCAGCTTTAAACAGTGCAGTGTGGAAAAAAATAAATTTGGCGCATAACATGTGTGAGGTTTGTGGTCGACAATCGTCGAAACAAAATATCTACGGTCCGGTCAAAATTTGAGGCGAAAAATGCCTGCACTAGATCCCATGCCTGACTCGGTGCTTGGCAGCCGCTCCTCACACGCGGGAAACGAAACTATCCCCTTATCGTGGACCACAACTACCCTCGGTCACAGTGCCTTGCGTGTATCCGTGAATGGTGAACTTGGCCCTGTTACAGAAAATAAAGCTTTGATTCACCTTTTGTTACCGCGATTATAGCTACAATCATTACAGCCACCACACTTTCCACTTCTACCTAGCATCTAGTCCTGTCTGTTTGAAAATATATAAGCAGGTGTGTACCCGCCAATTTGAGAAGGGAGAGCAAATGGGTGTGCAATAACCCCATAGTAAAACAACTTTGCTTCGTTTTAAGTGTTATCACATGCACTGCCAATGTTAGCAAAATCACCAATTGTACCAATCAATACTGCATTGGCCCATGCACAACAGCAAAACCAGATACATTATAGTGCACCTGGCAAGTCACCCGGCAATTCAGCTAGCGGGAAGGAGCTTTCCTTCCCAGCACAATGAGCAACTCCCCATTCACACAAACACACATACAGCCCTCTGTAAAACAGTGATGAATCCCTTCCACTCCGTGCGCTCATTCAAGTTGAGGCACCTGACGAGGCTGGCAAGCCAGTCATCAGTTTGGTCGCGCTTGTTGACGGTGGGCACGGGGCGAGCGCTCGTGGAAATGCGCACCGATTCCCCTTGCGACAGCTGCTGCTGCCGCTTCTTCCCGTAATTGCAGCCAGTTCCTTCCCCAACCCAACTAGTATCCTCCACCCGACCCAACACACACCAAGCCTCTAGAAGACAGTATTGAATCCCTTCTGCTCCATACGCTCGTTCCAGTTGAGGCACCTGACGAGGCTGGCGAACCAGTCATCGGTTTGATCACGCTTGTTGACGGTGGGCACGGGGTGTGCACTCATAGAAATGCGTACCGAGTCCCCCCGTGACAGCTGCTGCCGTTTCTTCCCGTCAAACGACACCCAGCAGTTGCTGCGCGCGTCCGCAGGGACCTGGCGGGGGTTGAGAAGGGAAGAGAGGGAGGATCAAGTGAGAGAGGTAAAACATGAGAGAATATCAAGGGCGATAGGATGAGGCATAAGGGGAGACAAAGAGGAGAAGGCAGCTGCACAGAGGAAGATGCCAGAAGCAAAGGAGAGAGAGAGAAAAAATGGCGTCTGGGGTGGAGTTGAACGGGCATGCACAAGAGCAGCTAACAGGTGACACAGTAGATGGGAAGTGGCTGGAGTCCACACGACGGCCAGGGAAAGGCCCTGCAGGTGCAGAGAGACTTACTCGAAGTTCAAGGAGGGCGGAGTCGGGCAGAATGATAGGGCGGAAGGAGAGGGAGTGCGGGCAGATGGGCGTGAATAGCATGCAAGGCACGTTGGGATGCACCTGCGTGGGATGGGAGCGGTGACAAGGGGTGGGAGAGATGAATGGACACGGACTGATTGGAAGAAAAAGGATTGGAAGAGAGAACCGGTTGAGAGAGGAATGTGACGTGAGATGAGGAGTTAAGGGGAATGGAGCGGCGGAATAGGAATGAGAGAAAATTAGGACTCCATAGGAGAGGCGGACGAGGGATTGAGGAGGAGATAAACATTAAGACATGCACACGTACATGCAGACACACAAATTCACACACACATGCGCAGCCGCCCAGCTATGCACAACTCTCCCCCACACACCTCCCCCCTGACACAGCCATGCCACACACATCTCCAGCCCACAGCCCACTCCCCACACCCATTATCCACGCACCATGGAGCCGCCAGCAGCAGTGGAGCATGCAGTGGTGCCCGTGGGCGTTGCCACTATCACCCCATCCGCTTGCATGCATGCACAGACAGCAATGCACACTTCTCCTCACCTTCCCTCTTCCCCCACCCACACCGCTTGCCCCACGCACCATGGAGCCGCCAGCAGCAGTGGAGTATGCAGTGCTGCCCGTTGGCGTTGCCACGATCACCCCGTCTGCTTGCACCTGCAGGGAGAGAGCGAGAGGCAGGAAAAAGGAGAGGGGAGGCAGGGGTGGGTAGGCAGGAGTGGGCACTAAGAGTGCTGCCCGTGGGCGTTGCCACGATCGCCCCGTCCGCTTGCACCTGCAGGGAGGGAGAGGCGAGAGGCGAGAGACGGGAGGCAGGAGTGGGTGGTAAGAAGAGGGGAGGTGCTGAGGGTGCTGCCCGTGGGCGTTGCCACTAGCACCACGTCCACTTGCACAGCCAGGGAGAGGCAGAAGAGGGGAGGCAGGAAAAGGGAGCAGGAGAGGGGAGGTGCTGAGAGTGCTGCCTGCGGGCGTTGCCATGGTCACCCCATCCACATGCACCTGTGGCAGAGAGGCGAAAGAGGTCCTTCAAACGACATGTGAGCGGGCAGATAGCAAGAGCAAGGAGAATTAACCAGTGACGAGAACGAGAATTAACCAGAGAAGAGGCTGTGGGCGTTGACATGGAGAGCAGAGAGCACATGGAGAGAAGAAGAACGGCACATAGCACAGCATGTGAAACACCTTGGATATGAGATCATAGCACTCAATCTTGCCGAGTTAGGGGTCGGGATGCACCATGCAGGCAGGGGCTGCGGCACTTGATCCTGCCTTTGAGTCGACTCACAAGTCACCACCACCACCACCACCACCACCACTGCACGCTTCCATACCTTGGTGATGAGCTTGCTGCGCTCATAACACTCGATCTTGCAGAGGTAGGGGTTGGAGCCGCGGTCCACCACCACCTCGTTCAGCACATCAAACACCTTCCCCGGCACCGGCTGGCCCCCCTTCACGAGCTCGCACTTGAGGCGCATGCGAAGCGTTATGTACACGCCTGCTGTCTGCTCCTGTCCGTGAATCACCGCCTTGAGGTCCTGCTCGAACTGCTCGTACTGTGAGCAAGGAGGGCCATGAGAGAGGGAGAGAGAGAAGGGGAGTGGGTAAGAGAGATGGAACGGTGGAGAGTGGGGAAGTGAACATAGGATGCAGTCCGTCCCGCCCTTCACCAGCGTTATGTACTCTCCGGATGCCTGCTCCTGCCCGTGAATCACCGCCTTGCCTTGAGGCCCTGCTTGAACTGCTCGTACTGTGAGCAAGGAAAGGGGAGGAGGAGAGGGTGGGGACTGCTCGTACTGTGAGCAAGGAAAGGGGAGGAGGAGAGGGTGGGGACAAGGGAAAGAGAGTTGAACTGCCTATGTACACGGCCCCCAATGTTTGCTCCTGCCCGTGAATCACTGCCTTGAGGTCCTGCTTGGACTGCTCGTACTGGAAGCAAGGAACGGCGGTGGCAGAGGATGGGGGAGAAGGAGAAGGTGGGGGAGAGGAAGGTATAGGTAGAGGTAGAAGGAGGGAGAAAAACGGGGATGGGAGAGAGAGGTTGAGCGGTCGAGATTGGGGAAGTGAGCCGAGGATGCGTCCACCTCTTGATGAGCTCGCACTTGAGGCGCATGCGAAGTGTTATGTGCGCGCCGGCCGTCTTCTCCTGCCCGTGAATCACTGCCCTCAGGTTCTGCTCATACTGCGAGCAAGGAAGGGGGAATGGAAGAGGGAGAGTGAGGGAAGTGGGAGAGAGGGGGAATTGAGCGAGAGTGGTGGAGCGGTAGAAAGTGGGGAGTCGAACAGAGAATGAATCGGTGTGTAGAAAATCGCTGCTCAGTGCTCGTACCGGGTGTGCGGTGAGGAAGCTGAGGGAGGCAACGTTGAAGAAGACGGGGAGGAACGTTGAACAGAGGAGCTGAATGGGTGTGATGTGCTGTCAACGGGGGGCTCAAACTCAAAGCTCATCGTAGCCAACAGATCTTCAGGGCGCATACCGGGTGTGCGGTGAGGAAGCCAAGGGAGCCGAGGTTGAAGGAGACAATGGGGGGCACGGAGGAGCTGAAGATGTTGGACGCATGCAGGATAACCCCATCGCCCCCCAGACACACCACGAAGTCCACCTTCTCGTGCAGCTTGCTGGTGGTGAAGGGAGGCGGAGGTGTGGTGGGGCAAAATGAGGGGACATTATGTTGGTAACTGAACAGTCTTAGTTCCTTCAGTGTCCCCCGTCACACCATGAAATACACCATGGCATGAAGCTTGCTGGTAGGGAGGAGGATGGGAGGAGGAGTAGGAGGGGGGACATACCAACGTCAGCTCACAGATTCCCGTACCGTTCTCCCTCCCAGGCACACAACAATATCCGTGCAGGTTGTGGGTGGACCACAATTCCTCCAACACTAGTTTCGAGTCGACTCAAAACTACTCTCCCAGGCACACAACAATATCCGTGCAGTGCAGGTTGTGACTTTTGAGGCGCCTCAAAAACAGGCACACAGCAATACCCGTGCCTTGCAGGTTGTGGACCACAATTCCTCCCACGCTCTTCTGCATGCACAACCGTCTCTTTCCCACCCCCCCCTCTCTCTCTCTCCCCTGCACCCATCCACACACACACCTGGAGTCCTGGCGATAGCACCTCCTTTCTCCTTCCACCCGGTATTCTGATTGTAGCACCCCCTCTCCCATACCCCCACCCAACTCCCCGCCTGGTGTCCTCACAACCCAATGTCCTGGCTGTTGCACCCCCCCCCCTCCCACCTGGTGTCCTGGCTGTAGCACCCTCCCCTTTCCCACCTGGTGTCCTCTTTCCTCCCACCTGGTGTCCTCTTCCTCCCACCTGGTGTCCTGGGCGTACAAGGTCCCACCTGGTGTCCTGGCTGTAGCACCAACACCCCCCAAGGGGTCCCACCTGGTGTCCTGGGCGTAGAAGGTCTGCATGAAGCCGAAGCCGGGCATGCGGGAGAGGGTGTCGTGCAGCTCCGGCTCCACCATCACGTTCATGCCCTCCTCGCGCTGCAGGAACCGCGCCACCTGGTGGCATTATAACGGGGATGGAACGTGATACAGGGAGTTGAGGTGAGGTTATGAGCAATACAAGGCTTCTCGTTCAAGCTCTCGACGTGGTGCAGGAAGGAGGGGACGACCTGGGACTCCGTCACGCTACCACCATTCGCACTGTCCCGCCACATGCTCACCTCCATGGCTTCACTCATAAGCTCCGTCCCAAGCTTCTTGAGCAGCAGCACGGTGCGGGGCCGCGTGCGCCACATGAGCATCTGCTGCTGCGTGCTGGGGTGGGAGAAGGCGAGGGTCGAAGCAGTGACCTTCTCGCGAGTGCAGCTGATGCCGTCCGTGCGCACCAGGTACATCTCCGCCTTCTTCCGCGACTGCACTCGCACCACGCCTGTAGCTGACGCACACATGTCCCCGCCGACAAACTCGCCCTCCGAGTCGCTGCTGCTGCCACTGCCAGCGTCCGCGCTGCTGACACTGCTGCTGCTGATGCCGCCGCTGCTGCTGCTGCTGCTATCGGTGCTGGGAACCTCGCCACTGAGGGTGTTCGCGGTGTAATCTGCGGCACTGAAGCTGCCGATTTCACCAGGACTATCACCCTCCTCGCAGTCACTGTCGCTATACACCCCACCACTTTCCAGAGAGGCAAAGCTACCAGACACACTGGAAAGCGTGCTGCTCACGCTCATGCTCATGCTGCTGCTGCTGCCATTTCCCGTATCCACCCACCCGCCCGTCGACCCAGAACCATCAGCAGCCCAGGCACCACCCCCTCCTGACTCCATTCTCCCCTCTACTCCTCCTCCCACCCCCTCTCCTGCATCTCCGCTCCTGTCAGTTTCAGACAGCACCGCACCAGACCCCGTAGTAACGAACCTGGTACCTTCCTCGCTTTCGTCGTCATCCTCCGGCTCCACCTCGCCCCGCCCTCGCCCTGTCAATACTTCTCCTATACCCGTTACGAAGGACTCGCTACTGGTTTCTCGCACAATGCTGAGCTCGGACCCAGACGCGTCTTTTAAAAGCTTGGCCGTGCTGCTACTGCTGCTGGTGGCGGTGGCGACAGCCTTGCCAGTACTGCTGCTGCTGGTGCTGCGACTGGTCTTGCCCTTGCGAAGAGTGGCAGCTTTCCCCAGGTAAAACGGCGACATGTGCTTCCGCTTGCTCAAAGCCCTCCGCTTCAGTTTCGGCCGTTGAGCTTCCAGCGGGTTGCGCACCACGAACCACTCGCCGTCGCTGCCGCTGCTGCTGCCCTCGTCTTCGCTGTCACTCGCGGCAGAGCCACTCCAGCCGTTGTCACTCTCACTCCCGCTTTTGGTACTGGATAATGCTGACGCCTCTGCTGCTCCCGGTATCGCCTTGGGTTGCTGGCAGTAGCAAAGGAGACGAAGAAGAAGAAAATGATGAAAGAAAAGAAAAGAAAAAAACCAGTAACGCAATTCGTGGTACCGGCTTGAAGGAAGAAAAAATTGAGCAATGGAAAAATGTAAGATTAGGAGACGGGACTGCAGAAATGCGAGCGTAGCAAATGAAGAGAACAAATGAAAATACGTACCGTCGAATCAGACACACTTCCGCACCAAATTCACACCTGAATAGCTCATTTCAGCTTTCCCGAAACCTACTCTCCTCATCACAAAACGGTCAGTGTCTCCGTTCATGTCCTGGAGCAACATAATCATTAACTAGAAAAAGAAAAACGTTCACACAACAAGACGCACATAGCATGACTCACATGTTCCCTGTTTCCCGAAGCCGAGACATGTAGGCGCAGTGGTGAGTCCGGGCCAATGAAGCCAGGAACTGCTGTTAACGAATTCGCTCGTAAACGGGTATGTCCTGTGAAGAAACAGTCTCTTCGCCGCTGAAGACCATTCGCACTGGTGACAGACGCTCCGGTATTGCCGAAACAAATATTGCCTGCACTAACTATAAGTTTACTACCGCGTATTGTTTGGGTATGGTCCACTAGACGTAAAGCGCATCGGGCGTGAAAGGGTAAAGCGACGGGGTTCATTGAATGTGGACGAGAATGAACGGTGCCGGATTGGTTTCTAATAGGACACCGGTATTGCGGGGAAGCTACTATGCTGCACGTCAGCACCGTTTGATTTGTGGCGAGCTCCATCTCAGAGTTGATTTAATAAAACAGTTATTGGTCGGTGGTGCAAACTTCTGACAGTTATGACTGACAAATTCGCCTCAGCGATTGCTGCGCAGGGTCTGAGACGGTAGTTCAGAAGGAGTGGACGCGGAAGTAGGAAGCAGGGAAGCTAAGCGACCTCGAATTTCTCGTGGAATGCGCAGAGCTGTGCACAACAGTGGTGGAATCTGGTGTGGTGGTTGTACTATCTCGATGGCTCAACTAAAGCTCCTGCTATTTGAGTTGACTCGCTAGTCTGGAGAAGCCTTGTTGGAAAGGTTATCTAGGCATGGCGAACATGGTTACTTGATATCTATCGCTTTAGTTCGCAAACACTTACCAGCCTCTCACAGCCGATCGCACTGTGTTGACGGATATGGTCTGTACCCAGGGGACTGGTGTGCGTGAGACGCGCGTGACCAGGCCACCACTGGCGAAGGGGTTGACGTGGCGGCATAAGACTACGACAGCTGACGAGGTTGCTGCAGATTTGGGATCAACGCTGGAATCTGCCGAGCCTAAACCTGCGCGTGGCAACCTTTCAACCAGGTACCGTATGACATGCAGGAATTTTTGTCCTTGGAACAAGCCAATTCGCCACTACAATGGTTACGCTAGGAAATAGTTAGATCCACACACCACATATGGTAAGTTCTGTACCTGTATTTCACCAACCCCATTAGTTGAGTTCATTAGCCACACCAGAAGGAAAAAGGCATAAGAACAGTGCTACATCCAGCTGTACGCTGCCCAATACCACTAAAAAACTCTATTTCTTCCTGCCTCCACGTTCCTTCAAGCTCATAACCACCGCCTCTCCAGGCCCAACATTATAATACGCCAGGGAGAGCGAATCCTTGAAGAAGCCTGCCTTGCCACTGAGCTTTTGCTTGTTGGCCGGCACGCTGCCACCCAGAGCCTGCGCAACATGCTCTTTGAATGCGCCCGTTGATTCGCTGAGTGACGACACCAGCACCTCCACCTTCTGCCCGTTGAGTGCCGGCTCGCCCTCCACCGAGGGAAGCATAACCACCACCCGCACTGGGCCCTGAACAGGACACAGGCAAGGGAACAAGGAAAAGACATCACAGCGGTGAAACGGAGTCAAGTTTGTGAAACGGTGTAACGGGGTGAAACAAAACAGGGGTGAAACGGTGAAAAGACAAAACTGAAGGTCTGATGAGATGAGAAGTGGGCTGGGAGCACGACAGTTTGTGCGAGTGCAGGCAGGAAAGCCAAATGCGAGTGCACAAGTTTGACACCCGGGATAGAAAAGCGAGCCGAGGAAATCACAGGAGGAATAAGCGGCGCATGAGGACACTGACCGGGTGCTGTGCGAGGAAGACATTCTCCGGAATTAGATTCTCCTCTGTCTTCTGCCTCTTTGCATCATGCTCATCCTCCCCTCCACCTCCCCCTCCTGCCGCCGCCGCAGCAGCGCCTCCAGGCACCATACCCGCCGGAACCATACCCATACCCATCTGCACCCCTCCCGGCATCCCCATCGGCACGCCCATTGGCATGCCCCCTGGGAACCCCGGGAACCCTCCCGGGACCATCCCTGGCTGCCCTGGAGCCATCATGGGCGGCCGCATGCCAAACATCCCTCCTGCTGCAGCAGCCGCAGCAGCAGCAGCTTGGTTCTGAGCCAGCAGCATGGGGTTGATCATTCCACCAGGCATGCCCGGCATACCAGGCATCCCAGGCATGCCAGGCATACCCGGCATGCCTGGCATGGGCATGCGGGGCATGCCGTAAGCAGCCATGGTGGCGATGGGTGGAGGCATGTTGCCTCCGGGACGCATGTGCCCCATGCCCGGAGGGGGACCCCCGGCAGGAGGCCGCGGGAGAGCAGCAGGGCGAGCAGCAGGAGGAGGCGGAGCCGGGGCCTGCGGGCCCGAAACCGGGCGGCTCGGCTCGTCCTTTTTCTCCGCGGCGGGCGGCTGCGCGAGGCTCTGCTGCAACGCCTGGGTGGCGGTGCGGCCGATGCTGGCAGTATGGCCGTCCCACATGACCCCGCTCGGCGCGCCCTCGTCCTTCTTCTTCTCCATCTCCGCCCGCACCGCCTCCGAAACCTCCTCCGCCGTCGTCCCAAAGATATCTGGGCGGGTCTTAGCCAGCCCGACGATGTTCTTGGAGATCTCGTCGTCGTTGGCGAGGGTGTTTTCGCGGAGCTTGGCGAGCATGCGCTCCTTCTGCTCCTTGTACTTGGGGTCGATGAGCGAGATGCGCATGTGCTCCGCCATGTCTGCAATCGGGATCAGCTCGCCCGTGATGGGGGAGACCACCACCTTCGTGGGGTCTTGTTCCGCTGCTGCTCGCTCCTCCGGTCGCTTCCAGTTGCGCACGATGCGCATCGGTGCCTCTTCTTCCTCCTCCTCCATGTCCATCTCGTTCTGGTGAGAGAGGGAGGGGGGTCAGTCAGGGGGTGGGGGAAAAGGGGAAGAGAAGAAGGGTGGGTTGGTGGAGAGGGATAGTGTGGGTGGGCTGCTTCCAGTTGCTCTCGATGCACATCGGCGCCGTAACAACCGAAGCTCTGGCAGCCCAGCTGCCCCACCCACCACATGCACTGAAGCGAAACCCCCCTTCCAGCCACAGTCCCACGCACATCCTCCTCACTGGCGTCCTCTCACTCACCCATCTCTCACGAACTAAACCAGCCCTGCCCTGACCCACCCCACCCACACGCACGGTCCCACCCACCTCCTCCACTTCAGCAGGCGGCGGCGGCGGCGGAGGTGGTGGTGGGGGCGGGGGAACACCAGCAGGCGCACCTCCCTCCTCCATCTCCATCTCCTCCCCTTCCGCCTTCTCCCCCTCCCCTTTCTCCGCGCCCTTCCCCCCCTCCCCCTCCGCGATTCCTGCCGCGCGCATCCCCTCCTCCACCAGCGTCATCTCCTCCGCGTCCATCGTCTGCGCCGCCTCCTTCTCCCCCTTCGCCTTCTCCGCCGCCGCCGCCGCCGCCTTCGTCCCCGGCTTCGCGCCAGCCTCCGCCGCCGCGACCGCCGCCGCGTCCTCCGCCTCGAGCTCCTCGTCCGCGCCAAGCTGCTTGCTCTTTCTAATCACCTCCTCTATAGTCATCGGAACCGGCAGCTCTGCCTCCTCGTCGTCCGCGAATTCGATCGTCTCTACGACTATGAAATCGTGCCAGTCGATTAAAGCCATCTGTAATCGCTCCTGCTCGATCTCGTCCTCCGCTTTCTTCCGCGCCTTCTCCTGCTTTTTCTCGTAGTCGAGCCGCGTCTGGATCCGCGCCATTATCGCCGCCTGCCCACCCGGCCCCGCGTCGCGTTTCACCTTGTCTAATACCTCCTTAGGAGGCATTAGTACTTTGGAGTACGCGTCCGCGAGAGCAGTGAAGAAGGTGAATAGGCTGTGCGTGGGCTTGAGAAAATTGAACTGCGGGTTCATGTGCTCGCGACTAATTAAACCCGTTAGGAACGTCTTGCCGTTTCGCGCTACGAGTTGAGCGGTCAGCTTGATAACGTCCAAATCCTGCCCGGACATGCCTTCTGGAATCCGAACCGTGTACTGCTCCGGTTCAGGCAGATCCGGAAGCTTCGCCGCTGCTGCCGAAGCCCCAGCTGCCGCTGCATCTTTGCCAGCCTCCGGAAAAGGCCCTGCTGGGCCTGCAGGCTTGACAACCGCAGCTGCAGACCCGGCTGCTCCCGAAGCTTTCCCGGCAGGAGCTCCGGCTGCCGAGCCTGCTGCCGAACCTGCACCAGGCTCGGATGCTATAGGTTCGGCCTGAGCCGGAAGATTAAGCTGCGCAAGCTGCTCGTTAATCTTGTGCCGGTAGTACGCATGATAGGGATCGGTGGGTGTGAGGAAATTAAACTTGACGTTGCCTTTGTTCGCGGCGAGAATCTTCTTTTCGAAATCCGGGCCGTTTCGGGCGACGAAGGTGGCGGTTTTGTCGACGATGCTGCGAATATCGGGAGGAGGGTGAATGATGCCGATCGTCTTCGTCTGCGTCGCAACCACCACCGGTTTCGGCTTCTCTGCCGGTTTCTGCTGCCCAGACCGTTCTTCGGCCGTCAAGACTGACGGCGTGGCGTCTTTCAAGCCGCCCGGCGGCGGCGCCGGAAGAGCTAGCGTCTCGCCTGGCATGTTGAACGACCTTATGAGAAGGAACGTTTAGCAAACTAGCATGTCCTGAGATGTCGGATCCTTACAACGTCTCAAACCTAGATAACTCAAGACGTAGAGAGCCGCACAATTGTTGCACTCGTTACAGGATATGACCGACAGCTAATCTTCATCCACTAGATTTCCGAGTCCAGAAGCCTGAAAGTGGCGACGCGGAAACCAGAAAAGAGAAAATGAAAGGAAACTCTGAATGGAGAGGAATTGGGATGGAGGGAGTCGAATTTATGAAGTGCATGAGTGTGTTTGGGAGACCAGAATTTAGGGTTCTTTTAGCGAGTGTTCCGACTACGACGATTTTCTGAGATGTGACGAAAAGCGTTACTTGCTCACGACGCTGGTAGATCTTCTTCGCTATGCTAAATTTGTAACACGGCGACTTCGATGGTTTCTGACTTACCGAGTTACCAGGAGCAACTGCTCCAGATTACCCTAGTCAAACGTTCTCCCCAAGTTTGGTTTTGCTCAAAACCTTACCTCACCGCTTCAGAAAAATATTCCACCGCTTTAGAACGCAATAGTTTCCCTGAACTCCACACTTTCCTTCAGCATAGCTTGTCCACTCCACACGGCTAGGTTTCTGGAGGCTGCTCTTGAATCAGCAGCCTCACGATCACTGACGTTTTACGGATTGGGACGCCTATCGGCTGCTAATGATCTCGCTGCTCGCGCTTCCCGGATCACTGGCGATTCTTTCGCGTATTTCAATAAGATGCTATTGTGTCGCGAACGGATCGAAAGCACTCGATGGTGTCCGTAGGCTTGTAGCGTATCGAGAATCGCGATTAGGCTCTACCTCTAGAGATGCTAAGCGCGGTGAAAGGACAGCATCGGATTTCTGAAGGACGTGCGTTAGTTACCTAATCAATTGCAACACTGCTGTGATTCACAGTCACAACAACCCGCATTCACCGTATTGACTACCCCGTTAAACTTAGAAAGAGCCAAAACTCGCTATCAGCCTTCGGTGCGAACAGACCTGCTCCGAACACGGGGGCCTGCTCTCCGCATTCGTGTTCGGAGCTTTCGCTTCCCGCCCCCTCCACCTCCCTTCCCCGGACCCTCCCCATCCCTCCTCCTCGCGCAATGGAGGAGGCGCAGCGGAAGGCGGACGAGATGCTTGCGGAGCTGCAGGCGGGGAGCGGGGCGGAGGAGAAGGCGGAGCGGATGGAGGTGGCGGTGGAGTATCTGGCGGACCTTCCGCCCGGCGTGCGCGCGACCGTGCTGCCCGACGCTCTGCCGCGCCTGTTAGAGCTTCAGACGGACTCCACGTTCCTTGTGCGGAAGAACTCGGTCGAGTAAGTGTCGATGTAGGGTGGGTTATTCATGCCAATCGCCGGAGCTTCAGGCGGACTCCACGTCCCTTGTTCTCACGTTTCCCGCACTTGCTGGAGCTTCAGGCGGACTCAACGTTCCTTGTTCGGAAGAACTCGGTCGAGTTAGTGTCGTTTCAGTGTCATTTGTTCATGCTGATTGCCTGACGTGCAGCTTCCGGCAGGCGGACTCCACGTTTCTCGTCCGGAATGGGTCGAGTGAGTGCCTTGGATAGGATTATCATTTCATGGTCAACGTGCTCCCGTACGTGCTTCCGGACGTGCTGCCAGACGTACTGTCACGCCACCTCGTTCCTCCCACGGTCCCATGCCATGCAACCAATCACCCTCGTTTCTCCCTCAATCCTCTTCCCCCCCAATCCCCCCCAGGCTCTTCCATCGTCTCGGCTCCACCATCAAGCATCGCGTCGCCACGCCCCTGCGCTCATCGCCTCCGCGCTCATGCCACCCTTCAACCCTTCACATTTTCAACCCCTTCCCCCTTCCCCCCAGGCTCTTCTACCGCCTTGGCTCCACCATCAAGCACCGCGACGCCTCTGCCCTCATGGCCTCCGCGCTCACCGCCATCATCCGCGCCTGTCCGCCCATGCCCCTCCCCGCGCCCCCTCCTTCCGCTGCCTCCGCGCCCCCCGCGCCGTCTTCTGCTACTGCTGCGGCGCTCACGCCTCTCCCCGCGCGCCTGGCGCCCGCGGCTGTGGCGACCAGCAAGGCAGTCAAGCACGTCATCTCTGCTGCTGCCGCCCTAGTTAAGGGGGCCTTCGCTGCTGTCACGCCCGTTACAAGCGAGGTGAGCCCTCGCTGTTGTCACTTACGTTACAGGCAAGGTGAGTCAGCAGTAGCACCAAGAATGAGTGTCAGGTCAATTCGCCATCACCATCTCATCATCCACCCACGATCTCCTGCCCTCCCTCCCTTCCTTTTCCATTTCCTCTCCCCACTCCCTCCCTCCCTTCCCTCCCAATTTGCCAGCCCCAGGCGTGGTCAGAAGCGTGGGAGCAGGTGGCAGCGTTGGTGCCGCTAATAAGGGACATACTGCCAGGCCAGTATCCCGACAGCGTGCGCGTGCAGGCAGTGGGCTTCACAGAGATGCTCGTGCTGCTCGGCCGGCCCGGGGGCAAAACCGCTGCTGCTTCTTCTTCTGCTGCTGCTGGTGGTAGTGGTGGTAACGGCAGCAGTGGGCAGAACGGGGGCAGCGGAAGGGATAGGGCGGATGGTACAGACATGGCAAACGGAGTGTTGCATCTCCCCGACCCTGACTCCGACCCGTGGCTTAAAGCCCAGTCCCTCGCCTCCCTCTCCGCCCTCACCTCTCTGCTGCAACCCCCCGCAGTCGCCTCCCTCTCCCCCCCGCTCCTCCTCACGCTCACCAGCAGCCTCGCTGGCATCGCCCGCCGCTGCCCCGCTCTTTACAGTCACATCGTCCCAGCGCTGGTGGGGATTGTGCCGCCCAGTGCCACGTCAGCGGCGTCGGCGCCGGTGGCGGTCCCAAGAGGGGAGGAGAGTGGGTGTGGGGTGGTGCAGCAGCTGCTGCAGGCGTCGGGTAGTGTGAGGCATGGCGTGCGGGCGGCGCTGCTTGTCATGTTGCGGCTCATGCCGCTCGCTCCAGGCGGGATGAAGGTGGGTGGGAGCGGGCGCTGGTGTGGGTTGGGGGATGTGGGTGTGGGTGTGGGTGTGGGTGTGGGTGTGGGTGTGGGTGTGGGTGTGAGTGTGGGTGCAGTTGTGGTAGAGGTGTGTTGTTTCCACTGCTGGTTTGTTCCATATGAATGTGAAATCTAGCCCAAAACATGACGACTGGCCCATTTACCAATTACCACCCCTCTTTTCTTTCCTTCCCTGCCTCGTTGCATCCCTCACCACCACCAATGGCGGGACTGCTTGACATCGCTCGTGAAAGAGTCATTGGGAGCAGGCGAAGCCGTTGACTCCTCCCTTAAAGGCACATCAACCCATCTCTCTAACCCTCCTTCGTTTTTTTCTTCCCCCTTGTCCTCTCTCCCCTCCACCTTCACCACCACCAGTGGCGGGACTGCTTAACATCACTCCTGAAGGAGTCACTGGGAGCAGGAGACGCCGTCGACTCGTCTCTAAGGCACATCGACCGCTCCCTTCGCAACTCTGCCGCTGCTGCCTCTGCAGCCGCAGCTGCCGCCGCCGCCGCCGCCACCGCTGCTGCTGATGGTCCCTCTGGTGCTTCTGGTGTTTCTGTTGGGGGTACTGGTGCGGGTGGGAGTGGTGGTGGGGCTGGGAGTGGTGCTGCTACTGCTGGTGGAGGTGGTGGGGGGGGCGAGGGAGCAGCAGCAAAGGCGTCTGCAGGGACAGGGAAGGCTGCTGGTCGGCCTGCTGATCCACGGGTGAGTATACGTGTCTGTGTATGTGCGCACGTGTGCACGCATGCGTGCCCGTGCACCTGCATCAGAGAATGTATGTGTGTGGTTGTTGCCGCATGCTCTGTTTTCCCTGCCTCTCGCCCTTCTCTGCCTCTCCCCCTATTCCATCTTCTCGCTTTTGCGCTTCCCCTTGTGCTCTCCGCACACGTCTCTCCGCCAGGCCAAGGCAGTAGGAGTGAAGAGAGCGAGGGGTGCAGCTGCTGACACAGGGGCTGCTGCAACCCCACCAGGCACCACCACAGCCACCGCTGCCGGTGCTGGTGGTGGTGCTGCCACTGGTGCCAGTGTTCCCAATGCTGCTGCTTCAGCTTCAGCAGATGCAGCTGCTAACACGGCCGACGGCGCTGCCACAGCTGGTGCTGCTGGCGCGCGTGCATCCGAGGCCGTTGATGACGCTGCAACGCGAGACTCCAAGCGCATCCGACCGTCCACTGCTGCTCAAGCCAGCACAGCCACTCCTGCTGGTAATACACGAGCAACAGCAGCAGGAGGAGACACGAACACAGCCGCAGCAGCAGCAGCAGCGGCGGCAGCAGCAGCAGCGGCAGAGGCAGTAGCCGTAGACCCATCAGCAGCCATCTTACCAGTGGAGCAGCTGGTAACCCTACTGAGTGCGCTGGTGGCGCGGGGCAGCGAGGGCATGCTAGCAGTGGATGCTCTGATCGCCTCTCTGCCCCCCGGCATGCTGGCCGACCTGGTCATTGAGTTCATGCAGCACCTCCCTCCCTCTCCCCCTCCCGCTGCTGCTGCCGCTGCTGGCGGTGGTGCTGCTGAAGGCACTGCTGCTGGTGCTGGTGCTGCTGCTGGTTCTGCTGGTGCTGCTGGTGGTTCTGCTGGTGCTGCTGCTGGTGATTCTGCAGGTGCTGGTGCTGCTGGTGCTGCTGGTGGTGGTAGTGGTGAGGAGGGAATGGTGGATGGTGATGGCAAGAGGGAGACCGGCAGGGGTGTTGCGCGTCGCCATGACCCTCGAAGAGTGAAGGCGAAGGCAGAGGACAACACTGATGGTGGTGCTGCTGCTGTATCAGGCACAGTGAAGGATGAGCAAGGGCTACAGCCGCCGCTACATCCTTCAGCAGACAGGACAACAGATGCCACCCGCCCCAAGCCAGAAGACGCAGGCTTGCAGACCGGCCTCCCTGCTTCCACTGCTGCTGATACATCTGCTATCGTTCCTACTACTACCACTGCTGCTTCTTCTGCCACTGCTACTGCTGCTGCTGGCTCTAGTGCGTTGGTGGCAGTACCCATCTCCCCTGTCGGCCCTCCAGCTGCCCCTCTCTCTCCCCGCCTCGCAGCCTACCTCTCGGTCCCTCGCACTCCTGTGGCCCTGGTTCCACTCTCGCCGCCCCAGCTGGCTGCAGCGCAGCAGGCAGCAGTGTGCAGAGTGGTGGCTGGGGGGTGCAGAGCGGTGCTGCTGGGTGAAGCGGGGCTGTGGGTGGCGCTGCTGGTGGGCATGGTGAGGGGAGCAGAGGAGGAGGAGCAGCAGCAGCAGGTGCTGCATGCGTTGCTCAACTACCTCCTGGCTGACTACAACCGAGTCAAGGTGAGCCTCAGCAGTGGCTAGCTACAGGCGGGCGGGTCAAGGTGGGGTGATATTTGAGGTGAGTTGTGAGACTTGAGGGAGGCACTTTTAGATGCACGCAGCAGCAGCAGCAGGTGCTGGATGCGTTGTTTTGAGACGTCTCAAAACAGGTGCTGGATGCGTTGTTTTGAGACGTCTCAAAACAGGTGCTGGATGTGTCGTTGAACTACCTGCTAGCTGATTACAACCGGGCCAAGGTGAGCTGGTATTTGAGGTGAGTTGTGGGATGGGAGGGACTTGAGAGGCTCTGTACGATGCATGCAGCAGCAGCAGCAGCAGCAACTGGTTCTGGATGCGCTCTTGAAGTGTGTCATGTTGTTTAATGTTGTTTAAGGGCGGATTCGATCGCAGCAAGCCAACTGAGGTCGCTTGTGTCTAGATTGAAAGGGATCTGACCAGATTCAACTAGCAGAGAAGAAAGTGAGTGGAAGAAAGACTTAGAAAGTCAATCGGTAAGACGGAACATCGCCTGGGATGTGCGTGCAAACGCGTTTCGGCAACATAGCCTTCATCAGCAAAGTGAGTTGTGTCATCTCTGACCATACCTGGTAGTAATTCCCTCGACTTCTCGCTTTCTTTCACTTATCTCAGAATTCATCGAGTTTCAGTTGATTCAAACTCTTTACCCCACCTTCTCACTTTTGCCCATTCCAGGGTTCTCAGGTTGTGCTCTCCGTGCTGCACGCTCTTGCACTGGACCACTCCTCCCCTCCCTCCTCCTCTCCGTCCTCCTCCAGTATCCCAGCTCTCCCACCGCCACCGGCACCATCATCATCATTACCACCAGCATCATCAGAGGAAGCAGCAGCAGGCGATGCCATGCAAGTGGATGGCAGGGGGCAAGGGGGTGGTGCTGCTGCTGCTGCACCTGCTGCCACTCCTGCCACCGTTCCGCCTACAACAACTGCTGGCGCACCTGCTGCTGCTGCTGTAGCTGGAGCTGGAGCTAAGGACTTGGCATCTCCTCATATCCCTCCTCTCTACACTACTTTCTTTTCGCGCGTGGTAAGTGCCATTCAGTCAGTACGACTTACAGACCCTATTACCTCCCTCCCATGCTCCTATTAACCCCTGTCCTTTCTATCAACACCCTCCTCCATACGAAGCCGCCCTCCCACAACTTCTTCCCACTCCCACCCTACCGCTTCTTCTCCCCCATCCCTCCTGCCGCACTCCTCCTCGTGCCCTCCTCCAATGCTGCTGCCTCTCTTCGTAAGAGCCCCTTTCTTCCTGCCTCCCCTCTCCTTCACCTCTCCCATCCTTGTTTCCCCGCTTGAACACCCCTTCTCTTCCCTCCCATCCCCCTCCTCCCCCATCTACCCCTGTACCCCTCCTCCCCCATCTACCCCTGTACCCCTCCTCCCCCATCTACCCCTGTACCCCTCCTCCCCCATCTACCCCTGTACCCCTCCTCCCCCATCTACCCCTGTACCCCTCCTCCCCCATCTACCCCTGTACCCCTTCCTGCAGCTCAAGTCCCTCCTCTCGCCCTCCTCCGCTGCTGCTGCCGCTGCGCCCGGCGGCCTCAAGTCTCTCCTGCTGCCTCTCTTCGTTGAAGCGCCCTTCCTCCCACCCCCGCTGCTCAACCTGCTGGGACAGGCGTGTGGGTTGGAGGGGCTTGGACGGAAGGAGGGCGAAGGGGGGATTGGCGGAGGCAGGGGGGCTGGGGTTGGGGTGGGGAGGAAGAGGAGGCTAGAAGAGAGGGGAGATGGGGAGGAGGATGGGGGAAAGGCAAGGGAGATGGATGGGGGAGGAGAGAGGGGAGGTGGGGAAGGCGAGGGAGGAGGAAAAGGGGAGAGAAGGGAGGGAGGAGGGGCGGGAGAAGGGGGGGATGGAGGAGAGCGAGGGGAAGACGCAAAGGGAGAGGAGGGACCAAGGTCAGAAGAAGAGTTAAAGCAGGTGAAAGAATCCCTGGTGGTGCTCTGGCGGCTGCTAGTGCTACGCCCGCCCGTGCGCAGGCGGTGTCTAGCCATGGCCTTACAGTGTGCAGTGCACCCGCACCCGGACATTCGCTCCAAGGGCGTGGCACTGGTGGCCAACCGTCTCCACGCCCTGCCCTACCTCACGCTGCCCATCGAGCGGTACGCCCTCAAGCAGCTGCTGTCTCTGCCGAGCATGGTGATGCCGGCTGCAGTGCCGGTGGTTGCTGCTGCTGAAGCTGCTCCGGGTACTGCTGTTACCACTGCTGCTGCTGGTGATGCTGGTGGTGCTGGGGATGCTGGTGGTGCTGGGGATGCTGGTGGTGCTGGGGATGCTGGTGGTGGGAAGGAAGGAGTGGGAGTGGAGCAGGGAGGGCCAGCAGGGGAAGCGGGGCAAGGAGGCGAGGGAGGGGCGGCGGGGCAAGCAGGAGGGGGAGGGGGAGAGGTAGGTGCAACGGCGCAGCTGTCAGGGGAGCAGCAGAAGGCGGTGGGGCACGAGGTGGAGAGGCGACTGGCGCTCGTCTGTGCGCTCTGCTCCCGGGTATGGCACCAGAAACCTGCAGCCTTGCCTCTTTTTTTTATTTTTTTCTTTTCCCTCCAAAACCTCCCGGGCCGATGCCAGGATCACCCAGATAAATTTGCATGTGCCGTTGCTCCTCGTTGCTCTTCATGTTGAGAGTGTGCCACCCCGCTTGCTCACGTTGCCTTCCGCTCACACTCGCATCACCTCCCCTCTGTTTTTCCCATCCCTACTAGCGGATTTCTTCGGGTGTTCGGGGCAAGTCAACCCCGCGGCCAAGCGGGTCGTGCCCGTGCTGAAGGCATTCACCTCTTGCTGCTCTCCCTTCCGACGCTCCTCTCCTCCCCCCTACCCCTTAACGCACCATGCAACAGAGACCATCCCTACTGGCGGATTTCTTCCGGGTGTTGGGGCAAGTCAACCCCGTGGCCAAGCGGGTCATGCTGCCGCCCATGCTCGCCCCATTCCCCCCCACCACTCACTTCCAATTGCCTGCACCCCAACCCCCCACCCGCCAACAGAGACCGTCCCTACTGGCGGATTTCTTCCGGGTGTTTGGGCAAGTCAACCTCATGGCCAAGCGGGTCATGCCCATGCTGAGAGCCTTCACTCCAACCCACAATCCCTTCCTATTGCGCCCCCCGCCCCCCGCCTCTTACCCCCTAATGCAACAGAGGCCATCTCTACTGGCGGATTTCTTCCGGGTGTTTGGGCATGTCAACCCCGTGGCCAAGCGGGTCATACTGAGAGACCTGCTGCCTCCCATACTCGCCACACTCCCCCCCACCACTCCCGACCTCCTCACACTCATCTCCAACCCCCCAGAGGGCTCTATGCGCCTCCTGCTCAAGGTGGGTTGGGTTGGATGTGAGGTGGGCTGTATCAAAGGTTTTTCTTCAGGCAATCTTGTGATGCTGCCACTCCTTCTGCCGCCAGGCCTTGTCACTCTCCTTCCTAATTCTACTCTCACCCTCTCGTCACCCGTTTAAATCTTTCCCTCCCCCTCGGTCAGCTGCTGCACTGTGTGGCCGACACACCATGCCCCTCCCTCGTGTCCGATCCACATCCCTCCATCTCTTCCCCTGCCCCCCCCCACCCCAACTCGACCCCGCCCCCTCCCCCAGCTGCTGCACTGTGTGGCTGACCCACCACGCCCATCCGCCCCGCCCCCGCCCTTCATAGCGGCAGTCAAAACCCTCTCTGCTGCCAGGCCTGCGGTATGGTCCCTCTTGTCCTTATGTCTGGTTTGTTTTACTGGTATATTTACATGCTTGAAAGATTCACTTCTATTAAAGTGTGAACTGCCTTGTTGTTTTCTTCCTTTGTACCTTCACATCATTTCCTTTCCAACTCTTGCTGTATCCACAGTATCCCCCCTTTCAACTTGTGTTGTCTCCTCACATCCTCCCCACCTTCCACTACCCCCTTTCTCTCCGCCACTCCAGGAGCCGGAGCTCCTCATTCCCATCCTGCCCTTCCTCTCCAAAAACGAGGTGCATTTCATACACACCACTGCAGCACTGCTCTATGTGCATAGTGCAGTACGCTGTAGCACGCTGCAGTTCACATAGTGCATTACACACACACCACTGCAGCACTGCTCTATGTGAACGTCAGCGTGCTGGTTGTGGTGGTGACTGGGTGATGTGACTGCAGTGAAGCAGTTGTACAGATGTGACTGCAGTGAAGCAGTTGTACAGATGTGACTGCAGTGAAGCAGTTGTACAGATGTGGCTGCTGCAGCCATGTGACTGTAATGATTTGCCGTTCAACAGCTACTCTCATGCGCCCATGATGGCCTGATCCATCCCGCACGCCGCATTGCTCATGCCTCATGCCCCATTGCCCCAAGCCCCATTGCCCCATGCGTCATGCCCCATCCCCGTTGCCCCATGCCCCATGCCCATTGCCCCATGCCCATTGCCCCATTGCCCCATGCCCCATGCCCCATTGCCCCATGCCCCATCCCCGTTGCCCCATGCCCCATTGCCACACACTGTGGCATGTCATCATCTCCTGGAACGCCACCATCCCCACCTGCTGCCAGGCACTGGAGGTCTTCCCTCGCCTGCTGCATCTACCTCTGGAACTCTTCAAGATTGCCCAGGACCGCCTGCTGCAGGTGAGAGGAGGAGTGGTGCTGGTGAGAGGAGGAGTGGTGCTGGTGAGACGAGGAGTGGTGCTGGTGAGAGGAGGAGTGGTGCTTGTGAGAGGAGGAGTGGTGCTGGTGAGAAGGAGGAGTGGTGCTGGTGAGAAGGAGGAGTGGTGCTGGTGAGAAGGAGGAGTGGTGCTGGTGAGAGGAGGAGTGGTGCTGGTGAGACGAGGAGTGGTGCTGGTGAGAGGAGGAGTGGTGCTGGTGAGAGGAGGAGTGGTGCTGGTGAGAGGAGGAGTGGTGCTGGTGAGAGGAGGAGTGGTGCTGGTGAGAAGGAGGAGTGGTGCTGGTGAGAGGAGAAGTGGTGCGTGTGAGAGGAGGAGTGGTGCTGGTGAGAAGGAGGAGTGGTGCTGGTGAGAAGGAGGAGTGGTGCTGGTGAGAAGGAGGAGTGGTGCTGGTGAGAGGAGGAGTGGTGCTGGTGAGAGGAGGAGTGGTGCTGGTGAGAAGGAGGAGTGGTGCTGGTGAGACGAGGAGTGGTGCTGGTGAGAGGAGGAGTGGTGCTGGTGAGAGGAGGAGTGGTGCTGGTGAGAGGAGGAGTGGTGCTGGTGAGAGGAGGAGTGGTGCTGGTGAGAAGGAGGAGTGGTCCTGGTGAGAGGAGAAGTGGTGCTTGTGAGAGGAGGAGTGGTGCTGGTGAGAAGGAGTGGTGCTGGTGAGAAGGAGGAGTGGTGCTGGTGAAAAGGAGGAGCGGTGCTGGTGAGAGGAGGAGTGGTGCTGGTGAGAGGAGGAGTGGTGCTGGTGAGAAGGAGGAGTGGTGCTGGTGAGAGGAGGAGTGGTGCTTGTGAGAGGAGTGGTGCTGGTGAGAAGGAGGAGTGGTGCTGGTGAGAGGAGGAGTGGTGCTGGTGAGAGGAGGAGTGGTGCTGTTGAGAGGAGGAGTGGTGCTGGTGAGAGGAGGAGTGGTGCTGGGGAGAGGAGGAGTGGTGCTGGTGAGAGGAGGAGTGGTGCTGGTGAGAAGGAGGAGTGGTGCTGGTGAGAGGAGGAGTGGTGCTGGTGAGAGGAGGAGTGGTGCTGGTGAGAGGAGGAGTGGTGCTGGTGAGAGGAGGAGTGGTGCTGGTGAGAGGAGGAGTGGTGCTGGTGAGAGGAGGAGTGGTGCTGGTGAGAGGAGGAGTGGTACTGGTGAGAAGGAGGATTGGTGCTGGTGAGAGGAGGAGTGGTGCAGGTGAGAGGAGGAGTGGTGCAGGTGAGAGGAGGAGTGGTGCTGGTGAGAGGAGGAGTGGTGCTGGTGAGAAGGAGGAGTGGTGCTGGTGAGAAGGAGGAGTGGTGCTGGTGAGAAGGAGGAGTGGTGCTGGTGAGAGGAGGAGTGGTGCTGGTGAGAGGAGGAGTGGTGCTGGTGAGAAGGAGGAGTGGTGCTGGTGAGAGGAGGAGTGGTGCTGGTGAGAGGAGGAGTGGTGCTGGTGAGAGGAGGAGTGGTGCTGTTGAGAGGAGGAGTGGTGCTGGTGAGAAGGAGAGGCTGCTCTTCAGGTGAGAGAGAGCTCGTTGCACGTGCTGGTGTGAGTGAGGGGCACTGGAGGTGTTTCCGCGCCTGCTGCATCTGCCTCTTGAGCTCTTCAAGATCGCCCAGGACCGGCTGCTGCAGGTGAGTGGGTAGTGCAGTGGATCTCTCCACCTGTTTTCCAAACTCCCTTGCTCCCACGGCTCACTCGACGTGCCCCCACTGCTCGCAGCAGCGGAGCTGATGACTACACTGCACACTTTTCTGCACACCCATCTGATTGCTCTTCACTCTCCACATGATTGCTCTTCACTCTCCACCTGATTGCTCTTCACTCTCCACCTGATTGCTCTTCACTCTCCATCTGATTGCTCTTCACTCTCGATCTGATTGCTCTTCACTCTCCATCTGATTGCTCTTCACTCTCCCTTCCAGCCCATTCACTCACCCCACACGCCGCCACCGCTCACAGCAGTGGAGCTGATGACCACACTGCACGCTCACCCTCCCCTCCTTACTTGTGTTCTGGGTCACTGACAGGGCTCACCCCACACGCCGCCACCACTCACAGCAGTGGAGCTGATGACCACACTGCACGCTGTGCAACCCAAGAGGGACAATGTGCCGCTGAAAAAGGTACGCCTGAGCTGAGTTTTGATAGGTCACGAAACCAGATAACCGTTGTGCTGTTGGATTGTTGAACGCACTCACCCTGCTTCCAGTTTCACCTTCCTCTAAATCACATCAACCCTTGTGCTGTGCATCCATCAGATCATGGCGGTGTGTTCCTTCTGCATCTCCCAGCGAGCCATCTACACACAGCAAGTCATAGCCAAAGTGCTCAACCAGCTGGTAGGCTCTCCGCTGGCCCTGCTCATTTGCCCGCCCTGACGGTGCTTGGATGATTGTTTAGTTGACTTAACAGCCATGCCATCCACACACAGCAAGTCATAGCCAAAGTGCTCAACCAGCTGGTAGGCTCTCCGCTGGCCCTGCTCATTTGCCCGCCCTGACGGTGCTTGGATGATTGTTTAGTTGACTTAACAGCCATGCCATCCACACACAGCAAGTCATTGCCAAAGTGCTCAACCAGCTGGTAGGCTCGCCCTGACACTGCTTGTGTGCTCGCCTTGGTACCATCATTGTCACGCATATTCACAACCCGGATCATGTGCCTTGCAGCCATCTCTCCATTTTAAATACCAGAACTATCTCCACACTATCTCCACCAGCTCTCTACGCTCCCTTTCAGCTGTGCCTCTGCATCCGAGCTTGTCCTCTTCGCCAACGCAACGCCTGTCACTATTCTTAGCGTTTCCTCTTTTTTTTTTCTTCCCCTGCTTCTTTCTTCTTCTTTGCAGGTCGGACAGACGCCCCTCCCCATGCTCCTCTTCCGCACCGCCATGCAGTCTGTTGCAGCCTTCCCTGACATTGTCAGATCCATTCTCCCTTCCTTGCCTGTTGCTTCAAAATTGGGGTTTCCACCTTCAGCATTTACTTTCGTTAATCAAAGAAGTCGAAATGCACGACCCTCTTTGCTCGTTGCTTCAAATCAAGGTACCCTTATGCATCGCTATCCCCTCTCATACCACCTCCTTTGCTGCTTTGCTTTCTTGTCTTGCTGTCGAGTGAAGCAGTCTGTTCTCTTCCATTTCATTCTCGTGCAACTTTTACTTTTTTCTCACACACACCTTCCCACGCGTTTCTCTTTCTCGTGCCGTGTTGTTTTTCCATCCAGGCATCATTTGTGGCGGACATTCTTTCGCGTCTCATAACCAAACAGGTCAGTGCTAAGCCACATAATAAACACGTCCCAAAGCCTATTTGTAAATTCATGCCTTGGTCATGCCTTGTGAAAATTCATGGTTCCTCCTCTTGTGTGCTCATGTCAGTTCCTCTCTTCCTGATGGCTGGTTGTACTGTTACGTGCGTATTGGCACGCTGCCTACCGTGACATCTGTGCGCATGGTGTGCCAATGATGACGTGGACACTCTGCCGACCACGCCTGTCACCTCGTGCCACATCGTGCCACCTCATGCCAACCCTATGCCATCTCACACCACCTCATGCCATCCAATACCACATCATGCTGCCAGCCAATCTCTTCATTGACTCACCGTCTCCTCTCCCGCTCCACCCTCCAGGTGTGGAGAGCCCATCCTCAGCTGTGGCTGGGCTTCATCAAGTGCTGCCTCGTTACAAAGCCACTCTCCTTCCCTGTTCTCCTACAAGTGAGTCCTCTTACAGCCTGCCACTTCTCCCTTGCCACCCTCACCCTCACCCTCACCTTCACACTCACCCTCACACTCCCCTCACCCTCACTCTCACCCGCATACCCCTCTGCCTTTCAAAGCTCATCTTTTCCTGTCCGCATCACTCATCCCTCTTCCCCTCTTCAAATCTCCACTGTTCTACCTCCCCCTCTCCCTTCCCTCCACCCACAGCTGCCAGCAGCACAGTTGGAGGATGCGTTGAATCGAGAGCCATCGCTGCGCCCCGACCTAGCAGCACATGCCGCGCAACCATCTGTGCAGCCCTCCGTTCCCCGGTATGCACTCTGTTTTTAGACGTCTCACAACCACACTGTCTTCACCTTGCTGCACATGCCGCCCGATCACCTTTGCAGCCCTCCATTCCCCGGTATGCATTTGCTTTCCACAGTAGCAATCACGCTGCAAACCACTTGTTGATGTGAAGTTGCGACCTTCGTGGACAGCTCATCCGGTTCTCAGCTCATGCCTTAGGACCAGGTTGGTGGCTTTGCAGCGTCCTCCATGTTCTATAATCTTATCGCGGTGGCTGTGCTGGGATCCACACTTCTTGTCCTCGTTGTTTCTCTCGTCCCTTGAATTTGCAAAACCTGTGAACAATTCTTCCATGCACCACAACCCCCCCCCTCCCACCACCCTCCCTCCGTCCCATCCCCTCTCCCAACCACCAACCATGTTTCTAACATGTGTGTGCACCACTCAGTTACTTCGAGAATTATGTGCACGTTTACTATTTGCCTCGTTTTTCTCTGGTTCCTGTTCAGGGCGTCTCTGGTTCTCCTGGGAGTAATCACGCAAGATCTTGGCGACGCTCCAGCTGCAGGAGCTTCGGCAATTGCCACTGCTTGACTTGCAGTCAGAAGTACCGTAAGAATGTAGAAAAAACGGTTTTTAGTGTTTGGCTATGTGAGTTCCAACATTTGTATGCTACTACTCCTCATGGTGGTAAAGATTCCATTGAGAAAGCTTGCTTTCTTGTTCTTATCAATTGGCATCATTCTCATTACAAATAAGGCATCGTTCTCATTACAAATGGCTGTTTACAACATTTGCATCACAATTGAACACAAGCTAGTGCATGCTCATATCACTAGCTACGATATACCCTATCCAAGTGGCATGCACAAAACGGTTTACGCTGGGGTGGGTGGTGGGAAGGTTGAGTGAGCCGTTTGAAAATAGAGAAACGTGGGTGGAGGAAATGAGCTCCAACCCACGGTTTTTGTAGTTGGAGAAGGGCGTTTAGCGCGCTTCGACGATGCCAATTATGCAATACAAGCAGCTTCGCTTTCACAATACACAATTTTGAAAAACACAATGTGTGTTTAAAAAGTATAATATTGAGAAAGCTTGCTTTCTTATTCTTATCAATTGGCATCGTTCTCATTACAAATGGGGTCTCTGAGACATAGGCAGCGGGGGCCTCCGGTTACGTACGAGTTGTTAAGCTCTTAGGCAAGGGATGATTGGACTATCGAGAGGGTGGTACAAAAGGAAAACCTAAGGGGTTGTACCCAGGGTTTTTTTTTGGATTTCCACTACTCGGATTTCCATAGCTGTTTTCTAGGGAACTCTGAAATTCAGGGTGAATTATGAGCATTACTCTGATTTGTCAGAGAAAACTTAACTTCTGAAAAATATGCTCTGGGCAGTCAGTGAAACTATTTTTCCGACGCTGGCTGTCCTCTCAAGGATTGAACCCAGGCCTTCTGCACTCGTACCAAAATTACGACCGTTGTGCTACGCGCTTACAGTTAATTGAGAAGAGAATATATTTTAATCAAGTTAGCCCAACCATTTTCCACCAATTCGCGGGAGGGCTCGGTCGAAATGCCTATACCCTGTACAGAGAAAAATACATTCGCCACAAATATACACCGGTGTCTCAGAGTAGCTAAAATCAGAACCCTGACAAATCAGAGAAAACTAATCTTCCAAAAAAATTACACAGACACGTCAGAGTGACCCCCTAAAAACCACTCTAATTTTCGGAGAAACAGAGTAATTTACTCTGATAAAAAAACCCCTGGTTGTACCCCACAGTGAGTACCCCACTAAAGCCTACCTAAACTATAACATTTAAACATATGTTTGACACGAGTGCCTCTGTGTGTTGTGCAGAAGTCACCGCATGCGTCGGATCTTGTAGGTTGCGGGAGGCTTTGATGAGAGGCTCGATGTATGGCGTGACATACATTTCCTTTGCTGTGTCGCTTCGCCATCTGCCCAGCCGTTTGAAGACTCTGTCTGGCACTCCAGTGTTGGCTGCTACTGTAACTGCGCCTTTTCGGAAAGAGTGAGTGCCGAGCTGCAGCTCGCCAAGGCCAAACTTTGCGAAGGCTTCCTTGCACCAGTTGCGGATTGTCGTGTATGAAGGTGGCCTCGCCTGATCTTTGCTAGTTGAAGCATGGCCGAAGACGCGAATCAACGGTCCTTCTGACTGAGGGCCATAGTCGGTGAGTTTGATGAAGCGTCGGGTACAGCGCACTGGGCAACAGGGGTCCGCTGTTGCTGCAATGGGAATCCATGTGCCATGACCGGCCTGATCAGTCTTGGAGTGTGGTATGAGGATCCACATGACCTCTTCGTCGAATTGAATCTTGCCAATTTATGGCCACTAGGTCGGAGTATCGCAGAAATCCCGAGTACATGAGGATGGGGATTAACCCTTTCTGGAATTCCGCAGGGTCGTCGGACTGCAGGTAACTTTCGGCCATGTCTCGGACTTGTTGGATCGATACGGGTTCCTTCGGACGAGTAGGGCGAGGGCAATGTCGTTTTGCACAGTCACGCACTTGGGTGGTGAATGGTCCGATTGTCGAGCATTTGCTCCCAGTCATGCGATGGGCGAAGCTGACTGCCGAGCACGTCAGCTGCACTACGGACAGGGTGGCTTTGCGTCGGATTGCGTGTACCAGGTATAGTGCGAGGGTCATGTCAGAAGCTGGAAGAAAGGGAAGATGCACTTTTGTGCAAAAGGCTCGAAACTTGGCCCAGTATGGTTCGTATGTCCGGGTCGTAGAGTCCGCGCGGGATTGTGCGAGCATGTTAATCAGTTGGTTGTGTAGCTTCGGGAGCAAATCTGAACACAGGCGCATACACTATGAATTAGTCAAAAACCACTCGCAGTGCAATGATTGGGCTGTGCGGTAGTCCCGTGCCCGAGAAGGCAGTGGAATGGGACCCTACATCTAGGCATTGGCTTCCGTGTGTCAGGGGGATGTGCGCGTTGATGTGTGGGGCCCAAGTCCATGGGGAGGGCTGCAAAAGTGGCCACCAACTTGCGCCTGGCCAGTGCGGTACTATCAACGTAAGTGATGCATGGGTGCGTTGTGCATGGTGTAGGACAGCTGGGACTAGTTGTGGTGGGGGAAAAGCGAAGTTGTTTTCGGATGTCCATGCGATCGAGAACGCGTCAACTGCGATGGCCTCCGGGTGGGGAATCTTTGTGCAGAAGCGCGACAGTTGGGTGTTGCAGGAGTTGGCAAAGAGGTCGATGGAGTGGGGACCCCAACGACGTTCTAAGATGCGGAACCACGGCGTTTTCAATGCGTAATCATCGCGGTCGACCATTTTTGAAAGCTCGTCGGCGTGTGAGTCGAGCTCGCGCGGAATCCATTCGATGATCAAGCGCGTGCCGAGCTCCATGCATGTACGGATGATGCTCTTGCAGGCCGTTGTGAGGTCGGGGCTACGAGAGCCGCCTTTGCGAAGGATGATGAATACGCCCTGGTTGTCCACACGCACGAGAACGTATTTCTGCTTGATCTTGTTGGCGTACGTTTGGAGCGCCCAAAGGACGCTTTCGATCTCCCGCCGCGTGCTAGACGTTGCTCGTAGCGGCTCTGACATGGTTGTGCTAGCTTCTTCACGACCACTAGAGAATGTGGTCAGAGTGGCGCCCCAACCGTGAGAGCTGGCATCCACATGGATTACTGCATCGTAGCTGTTCCGGACGTGAAAAGGTGCACCGTTGAACCAGTCAAACTCCTCAAGCCAAAAGTGTAGCTCCGCTGCTGCGGATGGGGGAATGACCACGCTGCTTTTCCATGACGGTGCATCGTTGATCACTTGTAACATGGCGTGGCTGAATGCACGAGCGGTCGCGCCGAGTGCGACACCCATTGATGCGAGCATGCCTGTGATTCTGGCCATGTGGCGGACCGGGACTGGTCGGCACGCATTGCTTGCGCTCAGGAGGTTCTGGATGGTTGAATGTAGCGAGGCTCATCGGTCGGGACCGATGGAGAATCGGCCGGTGTCTGTCTCAAGTTTTACACCCAAGAATCGGAGGCGTTGTGATGGTGACAGCTGTGATTTCTTTGCGTTTATCACAAAACCTGCCTCTTTAAGGTCCAATATCACCCGCTGGCAGATTGCTTGCGCATGGGCTTTCGACTGACATAGAAATAAAATGTCGTCCACGTAAGGTATGACTCGGATGCCTTGCTCTCGCCAACGCCGAGCTAGCTGTTTGATCAACTGCGTGAAAACGAATGGAGCTGTCGCGAGGCCAAATGGCAGTGAACGGAATGCGTATGTGCGCTTGTCGAATTCGAAGCCAAGGAACTTCCCGCATGATGGGTGGATGTCGATGTGGTGGTATCCAGACTTGAGGTCGATGGAGAACATCCAGTCCCCAACGCGTGCCAGGTCGGCCACATGGCTGAGCCCCTCGTACTTGAACTTGGGGACAATCAAGTTGGCATTGACTTTCCTCAGGTCAAGAATGAGTCTGCATTTGTCTTTTTGCTCGACCACGTTTAGTGGACTTATGCACGTAAGCTCCATTGCGGGCATCGGAACTACTGCTCCAGTCTCTATGAGTTCTTGGATGGCGGTACGTGTGAACGTGGCATGCGTGTTCGCCCTGACATGGTTGCGGTCGTGGAAGGGCTGTGGTGGGCCGTGGCTCCATGGCAGCCAGTAGCCCTTGGCGATGACGGAGATGACAAGGCTGCAGGGGCACCATGAACTCCGCCACGCAAAGGTCGCACGAAGCCGACATCGCATCTGTGTAATAGTTTTGTCCGTAACGGCGAATTCATACGGATCGTCGTAGCATACCACCTCGCACCGTCGTGCTCCTGTGTAGTGGAGGCAAAATGGGGTGATCATTGGGTGTTTCATTTCAAAGCATCCGTGTGCATGTACGAGCAACCATTTATCAAGATGTGAACAGCATCGACAATCTATCGAAATGTCAACGAGTATGTCGGGTACGCGCCAGCGCTTCTTGTTTCTCTCCTCGCAAAAAACCTCCTCCTTTTTTTTTTTTTTTTTTTTTTTTTTGCCTC